CCAGTCATTTGAACCCGAGTCTAAGACCTCCGGACAAGCTAGTGATGAAAACTGTCTCGTGAACTCTAGCATTTAGAGGTTGCCGCCGTGGTGGAGAGACAATAGGGCTGAGTGTTGATGATTGTGCACATCTTTTGCAACAATCTTGTTTTGCATGTTCATATCTTACCCCAGTGAGGACCTATGTTTCCCCGTTGTCTGTTCCTTGGACTTGAGTTCTATGCATGGTTACTTGTGGTTGGTGAGTGGTATGGTCGAGACTTGCATTGATATGTGAACAGGTTGAGAACTTTTCATTTGCCCATTCTTCATGCAATCAAATGTCGTTTGTGGTGGATGTCGGTATTGTTTGAGGCGGTTCATGTGGTGATGCCCAATAGTCATTGAGATTCACCGCTTTGTGACTTTTGATTTGTTCCCTTGTTATCTTGATAGGTGGAGATATCACCTAGGTTGAAAATGGTTTGCTTGGATACAAGCAAACATCTAAGTGTGGGAGAGTGATTAGGGCTCATTTGTACACTTTTTACCCCCGAATTGCTTAGTCGTTTACGCCGGGTTTTGCCTTGTTTTGGTGTTTTTTAGACTTTGGCAGGTGGAACCAACCCCGGAGTCGAAATTTGGACGAAAGGGCACAAAATCAAGTAAAAGGGTGGAAGCAGCAGTAGATCACGATCTGGGCTGTGTGTTCACGGTCACTAAGACCATGAATTGGAGGCTCTACCCATGAACAGCCAGGCATCCAGAGCACAAATTGCTTACACTGGACGCGAGTGAGTTCATGGTCGTAAAGACTGTAAACTCAGGCCATTGCCTCTGAACTGGACTTAGTGATGCGGCGCGTTTCGACTTGGGATCACGGTCCAGGCTTTCAGTTCACGACCGTGAACTGGGACCGTGAACTAAGCCCGATCTGGATATATAAAGGAGGTTGAGCTAAAGGGAAAAGAGAGAGGCCTAGTGTGAGAAACTTCTTCTTCAGATTTATAGAGTGAGAAAGTGACGAACCAAAGAAGTGGAGAAGCTAGGGTTTCATCTTCAAGCAAGGATTTTGAAATTCCTCCCACAAAGGAGGATCTCTTCAACATAAGGAACAAGGGTAGCATCTCTTTGATGGTTTTCCTATTCGTACTTCCATTTACTAGCTAACTGTTATTCCCTCTCACATTCGATGTCTTTTGTTACGTATTGACTCCCCCATGTCTCGTCTAATGGTGGTCGTACTGAGACCATAACTTGTCCTCTACATCATTTACCTCGTTTCTTGTCTTGTTCATTCTAAAGGCTTGTAATTGGCCTAGTTCCTCCAAGTTTATGGACCCTCTTCTTCTATGACATAGTATCTATAAAAGGCTTCCTTTGTCGATTTTGTAACTGGCCCTTCTTCCTCCAAGCCTTGATCTATAGACTCCTTGAATTCTGATCAAACTTCCTATGACCTACTTGTTTCCTCCTTTGCTTCATTTAAGCGACCCTAGCGCTACTTAAAGTCTAAAATTCTCGTTTCTCCTTGTCGTTGAATCGTAATAGCGTCATCCACTAACACCAATTGAGTAGTTCTTTGAGGTGTCTCTTCGTTTCTTGCTTCATTTCCTCCAAGCCCCTCTTAGGCTCAAAGATCCTGAAATCCTCATTGCTACTAATGACGCTCTATACTTCTCGTTGTAAGGTATTAACCTCCTAGAACCTAGCTGTGGGCCCATGTTAACCACATAGGTCAGCTAAGACCTCGTACCTTCCAAAATTTGCCTAAAATTTGCACCTTTAGAGTTCCTGGCTTCTCTTTTCATATCAAATATGTTATTCTCCACCTCCACCACATATACCAAGGTTAATGTCCTTGAAATCTTATTGAACTTCTTCAAGCCTCCCCATTCTCGTTCAACTCGTACTCGACACCTCGTTGCTAGTGTTTAGACTTAAATTCCTCACACATTTGATTCAACCTCCATAGACGTTGCCGACGTTCCTCCTTCATTTCTAGGTTGATGATGATAATCTCTTTGATAACATCCCAAGAGTTGGTTAACTAATTCACCAACCACTATCCATCGTGTCAATGAGATACTTGATTATGAGAGACTTCATAATTTTTTCTTAGCTTGACATCATTTACAGCCTCCGCCTCATTTGCCTCATGTCTTGAGATTCTACTTGAGTTGGCCACATTTCTTGCTTCCTTCCGTTCATACTAATGATCGCCATACGCCTCAATCTCTTATTTTACGTACCACAACATGTTAACTAAATGCATTCTAGCTTATTCTTAAACCAATTGTACCCTCGTGTTAGAATCTCGTCTTAGCTTAATAGATCCTTCGTTTGTTACCTAGTAATAAAATCCCCGTACTTCTGCCTGAAGTCCTTCCGAATTCTCGAGATATTCCCTTACGATTGCCACCTCTTTCATTAGAACTATAGTTATTCACCTTAATACCATTAGAGTAGACTGGAGATTCTATAAACTCAGAAGATCCTTGAATCATTCTCCTTTCCTTTAAAACAAAATCCTTTAAAACCGAGACTGATACTACAGTATTCCTTGGAGACCAAGGAATAGAGGAAGACCGGCTCTGATACCAAAATGTAACACCCTAACTAGGCCGGGTATTACTTTTACCAAAATACCCTTTATAAACCATGAAACAAATAGCGGAAAATTTTCATAAATGACCTTAACCAATATTGAGAGCACACTGTAAATTCTTAAAACAAAGCCCTAACACTTGGGCTAAACTCAATCATAAAATCTTAATCTGAATCTCCAGTCTATACTCATAATCATAAATTGAAATAACTAAAAGGTCACTAACGTTGTCGTTGCTAAAAACTTTGACTTGACATCCTTCGTAATGCTCGTATCGTCCTCCTCTGACTGCCTTCCATCGAACCGCTTCTCACGACCTCGCTGCTCTCTAACTGCTCCTCTAGCTCTTTCTCTTTAACCTGGTGAGTGAGTTGGGGTCAGTCTACGCCCTTACGTTTAAAATCTCTGGTACTTGATACTTTACTTAAGACACTTAACTTAAACTGGTGGAAGTTGTTTGTGCTTCCACTCTTAAAGAAAACTTAACTCTTAAAGCTGCATGTGAGCTACTGTTACTCTCCATTCTTAAAGCTCAAATCTCAACTTAAATACTTGACTGACACGGGGATCCCTCACTAGCTAGTCCGGTTGCCCAACTCATACGTATGAGAAGCCCTCCAGGCTTTCCTTAAACTTAAACTTATCGTGGAAGACTCTTCTTCAACGATTCTCAAGAGCATAACTGTTGCTCATCTTAAAAATCTCAAGAGCATAACTGCTTCTCAACTTAAATATCTCAAGAGCATAACTGCTGCTCTATCTGAAAATCTTAAATGCAACGAACTAGCGCTAGTGACTGAAAACACTTAAAACGACTTCACCTTCCTGAAGGTATGAAGTTTCTTAAACTTTAAAAATAACTTATACTCATAAAATTTCAAAGTAAATAATAAACATTCACTTCAAGTTATAATTCAAACAAGGCACATATCATCAACCATACGCCTAAATAACCATACCAACCACTTCACAAAAATACTAAAAATGCGTAAGGTAAATGCTTGAAAATACGTAAGACGTAGAATTTACCCCATTTACACTCACTTGACTATATAGTTAAAATCCATCGGCTTCATGAACTAGGTACTCCAAAAGATGTCATGCAACGGCTTAGCATTTACTCGACGTTGCTCCCCCATCAACTCCATTCGTCTCGGTCGTCAAAAATCATCCACAACAAATCGCCCAAGCCATGTTAAAGCACCTCCCATATACGTACATATTTACTTAACAATTTCACTTGTTATTCCTCTACGAACTAACTAAATGCGAGTAGTGTAGGTAACTTACCCAAAACCATTCGCCTTTAATTTTTGCTTCTAGGTGGAATTTAAGGAGAGGATTTGGCCCTAGGCTAGCAAAACTTCCCGTGTGCAAATTGAACCTCTCCCCCGTCCGTTTGGTGCAAGCTCGTCCCCTGTTCTATCCCACCGACTTGCGACGCGGAGCTTGGTTAAGCAGGCATGTCTCGTAGTAGGGAGCGCTAGAATTGCCATTCAACCATCTCATATATTACGGGTGAGTTTAATTCGAAACTCAACTAACGTCCGTAACTTACTCGATTTATGTCAAAACTCGACACCGTTTGAACCAATAGCACACATTTTCTTTTTTCCTCGTCAGTATTACTCGGTGGAATTTGATAATTTTTTACCAAGGACTTAAGAAAAGGGCAAGGTGTAACATTTATCCCCCATAGGAAAAATTTCGTCCACGAAATTTGCTCAAAACCCATTCCTCTGCCAACACCATCCTTGTACCCCCCCCCCACACCTCAAGAATTTTATTCTTGCTATATAAACTTCAATTGCGTGCCCTTTACCTTGTCTTGAATAGCTTACTATAGTTCTTATATGTACTCTTGACCATAACAGGTATTCTCATCTAGCTTGGTAGCATCGAATAGGTTTGAGTGATTCATTGCGCTTTTTAAATTTTCCAACTTGGGTCCGGGATGTAATGGGACAAAATTTCGGCTCAATTTATTTGGTCCAACTGATTCAGTACTTGATGTTGAACCTAAATCAAAGTCGAGATATCACAATCTTCTTCAAATTTTAAATGCTCCTTTTCTTCTGTTAGGCATTCCATGCAGTCTCCATTTGTTGAAGAAGCATCTATGTTGTGGCTGCATCTTGTGAAGCACCCATGACTGGTAAGAAGCCGATGAGAAAAACTCTCGTCATTCTGATTCTTTAGGCTGACTGCCTTTGACTTGTTTTGTAGAAATTATGGTTAAATATCTCTTTCCAGGATTTGAACATGATATCCATAAGGAAACTGTAAACCAGGGGTGCATAAAATATTTCATCCTTTGATTGGTTTCCACCTAGAAAATGTAAGCAAGAAAAAGGTTAGTCTCCATCTTTCTCCCTTTTTCCCTTTTGTGCCACTTAATGAAAGACAATTTGCTCTAACTGTACTTTGTGACCAAGCAGTGTAGAAAAGTTGCCATCTGGACCTTTGTAAATTCTGTACCAACACAAAATCTTATGCCACCGCCAAATGCCATGAAGTGTCTTGTTGCTCGGTTAATTTCTTGCCCCTGTGTGCAATTGGAATATATTGATTAAACTGAACTTTTTTGTTCTTTCCATAAGTGAGTTATTTTCAATCATAGTAAGTAGACTTTCGGACTTGCATCCCATCTCCATGGATTGAAGGTGAGTGGATCTTCATATTTTGCTGGGTTTAAGTGAACGGCTGGGGGACAGACCATAACTGCCCAACCTGCTGGTATGGTATAGTCTGTGTCAAACATAGTGATTAGGAGCGGTTAGAATTATGCTTTGCAAAGAGAGTTACAGTTTAAGTGTGGAAACTATTTGGCAAATCGTTAAAGCGTACCCTTAAACTGAATGTCCTTACAACTTTTCTGAAGATTCCTGGAACTATATTTTCCAGTCTAACTGTTTCATTGATGAACTGCAAAGTTACCTTGTGTTAGACTGTTAGGAATTGAAAGCGGAACAGTAATGAGAAATATGACACCTAGTTTGTTGAGTCGCCTGAAATGTAAATGTCATTGATTTATACTCGTTCCATGTAAGACCAGAGTCAGGATTCTGTCTGCTGCTCACAATTTGCATCATGCTCTTGCTGACAAATTATAGAAAGCATATTAGTTTCCAGAACTACAATAGGTTGCCAATAAAAGACAATGCCTTAGGAGCACTTGTCATACAGTCAACTGCATCAACACTTGTGGATGGTCAGAAAGGAATTTCATTGCCAAGGCTAAAGCCAGAGATGTCGTTTCAAAGCTTGCAAATAGTAGCACAAACATCAAGTCTAATGCAATTCCATCTGTGAGGATTGTGTTGTCCTTATGAAGTTCTTCAAGTACATGATCAAAGAAATCGCTCTGCTGGTTTCTTGGGTTCACCCGTCTCTCGTGTAGCAGGTTCTTCAGCATCTTCATTGCCCTTTTCCTTCCCTGTATGTATTTCTTCCACGTAAATTTGCCTTCCAGACCAGAAGTCGTATGACTTCCCCAACAACTAGAAAATAAGTGCAATATCGCTCTCTGCTAGCTTATGTGTTTGGTTGTGCCTGTGAGGCTGTGACAAGTCACTTTTGTCTTCATCGTTCATCAATTTCTTTTAATTAAGAGAATAACCCATCATTCTTGACATAATAATAATAATAATAATAATTCTCAAAAGTGTTATAGAAAAAAATGAGTCCGAAAAGTGATCAAACTCATTAAGATATCAGTCAGTAGGACTTATTAGCTTCTCCTTGTCGAAAAACAACAAACTCATTCTCCGAGCTAAGATAAGTCATACAAATCAACAATCTAGTAGTCGCCTCATCAAAGCGGTAGTTCAACTCCTACAGTTGCATATCAAGTGCCGAGTAAAACAATTCAACCTGAGTTCTGATAGTGATGCAAGCTTTGTCAATACCAGAAGGGCGAGGATTGGGGATTTAATTATTAAAGTTTGGATTTAAATTTTTTGGAAAAAACGATTTTGATTGAACTTTGTTTTAAATTATAAATGAATCAAAGTTTTAAGTATAACAATGAACTAGTTACTTGACCCGCGCTTTGCGGCGATAATTAGTTTTTTTTATATATGTTAGTTTAGCGCAATCTTTAAGTGATGATTTTTGGAATGTTTCATGCTTCACAATAGTATATTGAGTTGTATTTACGGTGAGTCTAATAGTGTAGAAGATTGATCTCCAGTTGAATTTGAAGATGCACATAAGTTGATTTGGTTGCCTACAATAAACATTCTTTCTGTAAAAGGGAAATGTCAAATAAAATTTAATGGGGAAAAAACGTCTAGAACAATTATAATGCTATAGAATTCTAAGTTGGAAAGTGAGGTAAGTTAGAGTCAGGTTGCAATTTTCAAATAAGCGTGGAAACCAAAAAAATAAGAGAGGAAACCATTAGCTACAGGTGCAAACCTCAAATGACCCCACTCCTTAGCTACTTGCAAAACCGAGAGCCAGTTCAAACAAATTGCAGAATCAAACTAATCATGGTTAACTCCACCTGGCCTCCAATACCATCAATGAGTAACCTACAAATGATACGACAGAAATGCCAAGCTGCAATGATATTGGCGATGGTGGAAAACATCTCCAGAATGGATTAATGCAAGTAAATTACGTGCCTTTCTGGACCTTTACTCCGTTTTTCAATTTCTTCATGTATGCTGCAAATTACCTTTTGGAGAGCTGAAATTAAAAACAACTACATTGAGGGATAAGCTCACCATAAGGCAACTATTTATAGTGTTAGAATTATTAGATAAGTCTAATGAGTTGCCCCCGTTTACCTCATTTGGTGTCCTTGTTCATTAAGCATACATCATTCAGTGTTAGTGTTGCTTACAAAAGTTAGTGACACTTAGGGAGTTAGGGTAATCTCAGTAAACAACATACCAAAATCCTTTAAGCTTTCAATGAGTACATGGACTGAACAGTTACTAAAGAGAAAGGATTCACCTTAGTAATTATGCAGCACTCATAGCAGCGCTCCAGTTCTCTTTGGCTGCAAACGAAGCGAACCAAATCAATTGGAAAATCCAATGCATTAGTTGATGAGGTGAGAAGAGCATTAGTAGGCTTGGCTGTACCAGCAAGAATTAAACCACAACATGAAGTTCGCAACAATTTTAAGGCAATCTTACTGAAATAAGATGTTTTATGGGCTGGCTCTCTGCCAATATGTCTTGGATAATTAATGTTAGAGAAAAATAGAAGGGGTAAATGTACTTGTAGAAGCTCCAAACAGCGTTCCAAGCATAGCCCAAGTAAGCTGATTGAGGATGAGAAAAAATTAATAATAGAAGCTCAAATTAGAAGGAGTAATAGCAGCTCCAATACTTGACAGCATCACAACCACAACCCAGCTGTTCACCAGTTTGATTAAGCTACTCCTTTATCTTCTCTGACACAACCATAGCTAACAATTGCAGCAGTTTAATTAAGTTCATCTTGGGAAACAGTATTATTAAAGCATTAAGCGCATTAATTTTGCTAGTATTGACAAAATCACTGAACTCGCAAGCATTCTATATGGTTCTGTTTTGGATTCAAGAGCGCATTACAAAGTAAAATCAAATATGAAAACCTTAGCAATAAAATGACCCATTGCCTTTGAATTGCAGCTCGTCGGATTGCAAATAGAGTTCTCACCTATCTCCTATATATCATTGAGTTCGTTTGTACACTAACATGAGTTCACAATGGTAAACACGAAGTAACAAAATATATATATAAGTAGATGAATCATGCCAATAACACATGAATCAATTCACGTGTTCTGAAAAGGCCATATTTGGATTATGAATACTTACAGAGACCACTTTTTTCATTCATGTCATTTGGAAGAATGCCAACACCTGTGCTGTTCAAATTGGAATTAAGTCCAGCCTGAAATGAATTGAACAACCAATTAGCAACTTTTTCTTGATTAGGAGGTACATAAGGACTACAAAGGAAACTTAAAGAACTAATACAAATCAGATAAGTCAAACATATATGACAATTAGTGGCTCTAAACTTAATTTATACCTATCGCATGGGTAACTGTTGACTATAGAGGCGTTTAACTTGGTATTAGTACAGCTCAAAGTGCCTCAAACCCAACCCATGAGGGATTCCTCTACTTCGTTCCGCTCTCCATGAAGATTTGGTAGACTCACCTAGCTAGGGACACGCTTTCGTGGAGGGGAGGAGCTCTTTCCCATTGTCTCGGTTTTGCGGAGAAGGAAATCCAATTTCCTAAAGAGGATAATGGATTAAGACTTCAATTTGGTGGGGAAGAAGAAATAGGAGTGAGCACATTATCAAAATAATAATAATAAGAATGAGTTCACCAGCTAATCAACGAAGAAAACAAACAATCATTTGACGCCACCCAATCCCTCTTCTTCATCTTCATCTTAGAACTCCCCGGTCGAATGGGTTGCTTCCTCCGATTACCCTCCTCTGATCCCAACAAAATCTCCCTGCATTTAACAGAGACTGAATCACTATGAGGAGGATGTAAGGCCGTTTATTGGTGGCGTCGAGGATTGGGTAGGAGGAGGGAAAAGCGGCCTAGGCGTAGGCTTCGCAAGGGAGAAGGGTTATGGAAGCTGGGCGGGTACGCGGCGTCAGAGGAAGGGTCCAAAGGGGAAGCGGCGTCCGATTAAAAGAAGGGCCACTGCTTGCTTAGCTAGCCGCCAGAGGTTGCTTAGGAACACCAATTTTAGTATAGGTTCAGTTGTAGCTTATAAAAATCCCAGAGTGAACAGTAATCCCGAATTTTTCTTGATGAACAGTAACTCCGATTTTTTTGAACTTGGGACTTAATAATTATAATAATAATAATATAATAGTTTGTACTTTGCAGTATAATGTATAACATTTTCTCTAATAATTGCAATGTTACTGGTTGGGAACACAAAGACTAACACTACCATCTTTTTTCCTCTGCCCCAAACTCAAAATGCTATTAAAAATTGATAATTTTTCCCTCCAATTTTTGGGATGCCCATGCATACATAAAGGGGTCGGCTTTACACAAATTAACGTAGTTCTCAGCAAGATCATTTGATATATAGTTACAGCAAAAGTACAATGTTTGGGCGAGCTTGAAATTCCAACCTACATTGAACAACTAACCTCCCTTATCTGGAAAAAAAAATGAACTAGCCTGTACTGTTAACATAGTTGATACGTGATCTAGTCTACAAAATACTATAAGCCAATGTCAAAAAAGCTGTTTTGCCACGTCAGCACCTCCTGCACAGTCCGCACATTGCGGATGGGTTTTTCAGTCATTCTCATATTTTCACTTTCTCTCTCAACCGTCCAAGAAATTCTGGCCCTCCTGTCTCGCCTTCTGTCTTCTGAACCCGCCCGGAAGAAATCCCCGGCGCAGCGGCGCTCCCCTTTACCCTTTCCTTTCCCTCACCCTTTTTTATCCCTTCTTTCAATACCGCCACCACTTCGTCCCCACCTTTAATCTACTCCAATGCCGCACCGTCGAAACTCGGCATATTGATTAATTGATATATTATGAGATCTGGGTGAAAAAGGCTCATCCGCCGGTTGCATGGAGGTGAGAAATTTGAGTTTTGAAAAGAAAAGAAGAAAATGAAATATACAGCTAGCTTCCTCCGCGTTGTTGAAGAGATAGAGAGAGAAAGAGATGGAGGGGGTGAGAAATTGTCGTTGAAGAAGGAACTGATTTTTGGACAGTGGTCAGTGGTGGTGGTGAACGAGAGAGAAGACAAGAGATGAGAGAAAAATAACGGATAAAAAAAATAAAAAGATAAATGTAATAAATATTGAGAGAAGTTAACTTTTTGAAGTGATATTGATAAAAGTGAACTATAAAAACTTTCTCCATTATTTTATCACTCTATTTATAAGTTAGTATTTAATAATTCTATTTAGAGGCGACAAATTGATTGGATTGGTGATTCATGGGTCAAATGAATTGGTAGATTGCATTAATTGGATGGGTTAATTATCCATGAATCCAAATGATATCCTTAACTTTGGACCAAAATATAAAATATAAAAAGTTTAGGTACTAAAATTTCACAATGAAAATTTTGTGTACCAAAAGGTAATTTTCCAATAATATTTTTGGTACAGAAAATTAAATTTTAGGTACCAAAATGTAAAAAATAAAAATTATATGGATTCATGGATCAAATAGATTGGATTTAAATAGATTGGATTAGTTGGATATATTTAATGGATTCATGGATTGGATTAGTGGATTGGATTGAGAATGGTCACCTCTAATTCTAATATTCTATTACATAACGAACTAAAATATTATATATTGTATTTTGGTGTTTGATTCTTGCTTTGTACATCCTGCAATCTAGACGTTTTGTTGTTTCATTTTATGTTAAATCTATATTATTTGGGATTTTGTTGAATTCCATTACATGTTCATCGTAGATATAGAGTCAAATTTTTGTTGCAAGATGATACTGGAGAAACTGGGTTTGCCATCTTAGAGCATGAGGATATATATGCATTTTTTCGGAGTAATGGCTTATGTGTATTCCAATCAAACCAGAGGAACAAATAACCTATTTCGCCTCATATTCTATACATCGTTAACATGACACTGAAACTAAATATTAAACTACCTCAATTCATTTTTTTTTTGTCATTCCTCAGTTTGATTTCTTGAATTCACTTAGGATAGGTGATGAACATTTTAGCGGCACATCACTTCAGTTGGCCTAAAGTTACCAGATTAATATGTTTAGGGGTGTTAGCGGTGCGGTTTCGGTTTTAACCGAACCGCAAACGCGGTTAACCGCGGCCGAGAAGCATTTGAAAACCACAACCGCCACCGACACCGATTGCTTTGTCGATTAGCCGAAAACCTCCATCGTCGGTTTCGGGTCGGTATCGCGGTTAGCTGAAACCGACGGGATCGCGGGGCAAGGGAGGACGAAGGTAGGTGGTGCGACGATGGCGACGGCCGACGAAGGCGTGACAGTCGATGATTACTCGGACTGGGAGCAGGAGGACGAAGGCGCCGGTGGGGACGCCAGGCAGGGTGATGATAACGGCTGACGGCGGGGACGCCGGAGAGGGTAAGGGTTTCGAACTCGGGAGGGAATCGACGAGTGGGTCGTTTTGGGGAAAACCTGGCATGTTTGAGGGAAGAGATGAAATCGTGCATGGTATTGTCTTTGGCAACTGCGAAGCGGTGATTTGGAATCGGTAGCTGGGCAATGATTTCAACTTGTGCACGGCGGAGGTGGCGGCCGACGAGGAACAATCGATTAACAAAGCTTCATTCTGCCTTGATTTCAATTGATATAGGAGAGAGAGAGAGAGGGATGGCATGAGATTCAGAAAGGGTAGCTTGGATTGGATGTGTTGATTGCTCAATTTTAGGCATAGATTGTGAATTGGGAATGACAGAAGTGGAGTTGAGAGTTGAGAGAGGAGGCGGCAGAGGAAGAATCCACGATTGGGGATGGGGAAGGTAAGAGGCAACTCTGTTGGTGGAGGGTTGGTGGGTAATCTCGGTTGTAACGGTGCACCGATATATTTATCGGTTAGCAACCGACACCGATCGGTTAGCTAATATGGCCAAAACCTCCCACCGACACCGCAACCGACATAGATATTATTGGTTACGGTTAACCGCTTAACCGACTTTATCGATTCGGTTTTTAGGTTAACCGACTAACCGCCAACCGATTAACAGGCCTAAATTTGTTAGTGTAAAACTAACTTATTTCTAAAATTTGATTGCAACAATTGACAAATACTCCAAGTCCTGTAAATCTTGGAGGGACTACTTTAATAGGGTTGAAAAGGAAGCATGTCCTAACGAGGAGAGGTAACTTTGTGTAGTTAAGGGCACAATGTGAAGCTTTTGTTTAATAGTTTGCTTTTGTTTATGGGATGTTAAGAATTATCTTTTTATTCAGGTCCATATTAAACGTCTATTTCTAGGTTGTCCACTTTGTGGATTGTCCTCTATTGTTCAATTTGAATTGTGGATAATATGCAGGTTGTTTGCCTGCAATCTTTTCTCATCCGTTAGACACTTTTTCCCCTATGGATTCTTTTTGTTTCTCAAGTTTGGGACAATTTCACGTTCAGTCCACTATGAGTCTATGACTGTAGGTGCTGGCAAGGCTTGCTGCATTTTTTAGATAGTTCGATAGTTGGCGTTATTGATGAAAAACTACTGCCAAGGTTTTGCTGCATTTTTTTAGATAATATGATTATTGGTTTTTGTTGTCTTTTTTATAATTAGTTGTATTATATCATCCAAAAACTATACCACTGGACTCTTAGCAGCACCCTTCCTAAAATAGGTAGAGTTGAACTCAAGTATAAGAAAATCAAAATGGATAAAAGAAAAATTGTAGAAGTAGCTACAACCAAGAGATGAGCGGAAATGGAACTTATGGATTACAAATGAGCTTTGCTATAATTTAATCATTTTCATTCAACTTTTTCATCAAGCATTTCTTAATTACTCTTACTTTTACATCGTATTCACAACTACACTAGATTTTTTCTGAAAATGCGCTTATGTGATGCTATTTGAGTTTCTTTTACGAATAGAATCTCATAAGCTCAAATTTTGGTTAACCCGAACGATTAGATGCAGATTATGTACTTGATTCTTTCTTTATTCTTCAAAGTTTTACAAGACCCCGGCCAACGGGCCGGGCCCAATACTAGTAGTGAATAATTGTAATGATGCTTCTTGAATGATTAGGTGATCTAATGACAGTTATAGCGATAATTAGAGCTCAGCACAGTGGTAATATATTCCTTAATCCGTGATTATGGACTAATCCTTCGAGTTGACATTCCAAATGAACTATTATATAGCAGGGGCCACCCCATTCCTTCTCTTTCATATCGTTTCAAGATCGCCTTTTGGTAGCTGAGATGCTGTAAGTAGATGTTTCTGAAAAGCTTTTTTCACCTTAAACCAAACTCGGAAACTTCTTCAGGTGGATAACCACAAAATAGGATCATACACAAACAACAATATACAGAAGAAAGGTATCAAATTAAGTTGCTGTGAATCGTATCAAATCCAGTCACTATGCAGTTTCCAGGTTAACAAATTCAGTCACTATGCAGTTTCCAGGTTAACAAGCACTAACTTCTGAGCAACTACGTAAAGATCCAAACTTTCCGGTATGCGATACAGTAAGAATGGTGTGAACCTTGCGTGTCAGAAGCAACCTTGGATGGAAATGGAGCAGCTGATCAATATCCACTTGGATGATTTTGGGGATCTATGAGATAGAAGGTCATAAGAGGAGCTTTTAAAGCTTTCTACTTTTGAAGCTTTGAGGCAGAAAGCTTCATCAGCTTCCTGTCATGGTTGAGCATGGAACTTACACTCTCCACCACCAAAACAATCTGAAGTTGAAATGATTAGAAGCATAGACCTCCTTAGTCTAACCACTTATGAACATGAATGAAACCGTTAAGCTGAAGTTGAAAAATGGCATACCTGAAAGCAAGCATAAGCCATTGCAGTTGCATAGTAGAAGTTGGCATTGCCAGTGCCCTGCATATTTTTGTTTACTTGCATTATGACATAGAAACGTTACTGTTGAAGTTTGGAGGATTACAACAAAGAACGGGATTCCATACCCTCCAAATCCAAAGATTGTGCATTACTGGGCTAAGTAGGGACACCCCGACATACCCACAGAAGAGGAAGAAAGAGAACTGCATATCTGGGACAACATGTTTATGTAGAGAAGTTATAAGAAAGAGAAGTTATAGTACCCTCGTCAAAATAACAGAAATTATAGAGGACACTTACCAGCTAATTCGTCAAGAAACAAACCCAAGAGACCTAGATATAAAGCAGGGTCGCCAACCTGATTAAATGAGCAACAAAGCCAGCACAAATATATTAATTAAACTAAAGTGTCAATAATAAAAAGCTATGGATTTGTAATAAACTCACCATTTTCTCAATGATGGATAAAAAACGGAAACTTACTTATGCACAACAAAATACAAAAGAGAGCATAGTTTTTGAACATACTGTGGATTACTTACTGAGGGATATGATTTAAGCATTGAAGAAATGGCAATGTAGACAAAAGCAAGGAAGCAAGGCCGGTGCTTTAGCCGTATGGCCAATGGAAGTATCATGAATAAAATATTTGAATGGAACACTATCAAAAAGAAATCCCGGAAGAAGTCGAAAACTTCAGCAAAGAAGTACCTGCATCAGAAATTGAATGTCCGATAAAGTGAACAAAATACTGACTCCCCCTGTATGTTGTTTCAGACTATTCCGTGGTTAATAACAATAAGAAGTATTGGACTCACCAAAGAACCCCTATATTTGGGGACAGATCTTCCACTGTAAGTATGAATCCATATGTTCTGCAAATGGAACACAATTACAGAAACCCCTCAGACCCGTTTACACAGCAACAGAAGCATCGGTTCATTTTTCCTGCTAATGGTTTATACTATCGAGACCAATATATCTAAATAAGCACCTTTGAAACATTTCCTGCAGACTGCTGTGCTGCTTGACCGATATGCTGCATAGAACCAACACATAAACTGACCACATGGAAGTCCAGACTAACAAATGCAAGACTCTTCCCCATGAAAAGATTATGTCTTGGCTTGATGTGTCGTCTCCGACTTTACCATTTTCCTTGCTCCGGAATAACTTACTAGGAGGAGCGTCTGGACCATACCCCAGTAAAAGAATCACCTACAGCAACAGTCAAACCGTACATATCACTGTAAAAGTGACAAAATGTCCTAGAAATGAAGCCATGAAGCGATATGTGCTTCCAAAAGTGGGTCAAGAACCAGGATAAGAGAGGTTTACCGGAATAATTAGGATTGCAGGGTATAAAGACAAATGTGTAGCCATGACCCAGCCAAAAGCTGCCAGAGGTGCTATCCCTGTTGGTCATCAAAAGAACAATTCGTTATCCAAAGCTGTATATCCTTTCCCTCTCTCAGAGAAACTGAAACAAACTAATGTTATTATTCATAGACATAGACTCCTAGATACAACAAATCACAAATAAACTCAAAATAATAATAAGACTCTGCATCTTACCAGTAGCAGCTCCATAAAGGGTCAGTATAGTGAAAAGGTTTTCTACAGGAGATGTAGACAAACCCACACAAGCAACTATCGTGAAAGGATTCCATAAGTATACCAGAGCAGCAATATCTCCAGAGGAAAGTCCACCTGGTTGCAAAATCAGGTTGTATCTCATCAGCATGTGGTGATAGTTGCAACCCAATGTAATCTCGAATACGTATAAACATAATGATAGGTTCTACCTGAATCAGTGGATTTATTCAGCAGATTAAGTGACTTCAAGCTTTTCCTATAAGTCATCTGTAGCTTCCAACCAGTAGCACGAATCAAAATACCACTGATCAAGTCTGCAAGAACAAAAACCAAACTGCATCCAACTGTAAGAGTGACAGAGGTATATAAAGGGCGAAAAACACAGCCATTCAATCAGTGCCTAGTAGTCGAAATCTCACTCATACTTGACCACAGTTACTGACACCCTAAAAACACTGGATCGACTTTGAACGCATGCTAGACACTCGCAAACAATCAGAAAACATCAAACAACTAACACAAAGGGGTCAACCATATTAACTAGACTCTAAAATATATCATGCCTCTTAAAATAACTGACAACATGAGTGAACCAGAGAAGTATTCCAAGCCATTTTGGCAAATATGCCTTCACATCTTAGAAAGAGAATGGGAAATTGCAAGGCATTACCTGCATAAAATGTGACTAGGCTGCCCTTCAATTCTGCATTGGCAACAGAGTAGGTCAGTATAGTTCTACTCCACAAAACAAAAAATGAAATACCAGACACCCTTGTGAATTCTAATGACTAGCACAAGGCCAAGCGATCACATCGTAGGCAGATTAACAAAATTATCCCAGTCTTTCATTTAGTTTTTAGAAAAAAGTATGAATCTTTGCCAAATTCTCAATTGGAACAACAAATGAACGGGGGTACCTTTTGACAGTAAGAGGCCCAAGAACCGAGAGTAACAATGGAGAGCCATGGTACATAGATCCTACAAACGCAAAACCCAAACCCAAGTTTCAGCTCATCTGAGTTCACAATGGAAAGAAATTCAATTCTTTTTAAGAGCCATATCTGCAAAGATCAGACTTTGAGTTCTCAACAAACCTGCATATGGAGACATTGATGATTGCTTCAACCAGTACCCCTCGGCCACTGCAGCACAAAAGAAGCAACAATCGGAATCAGCAAATCCAACTTCAGAGATTCAACAGAAAGGAGTAGACATTGTGGGAGAGAGGGGGAAGGGGAAAGTACGGCGACGAATGGATGTGAGCGGAGTGGAGACTTCCGGGCGAGAAGACAAGTTGAGATTTCCAGGGAAGTAAATGAGAATTAGACGGAAGATCACGGCGAGCACTGCCCATCGAGTGAACCCTCCTCCACCGCCGTGATTCTTCTGCTGTTCGCTTTTGCTTTTTTCCTCTTCTGTATTGGCCGTCGCCATTTTTTCGAGCGCCGATCAGTGAGCTTGCCTGACCTGAGAGTCAAAGAGACTAGTGAGCGTTCTCTTCTGCCTGACTGCTTCTTTACGGTGACGTTGGAGTTTTTTGGGCCTCTGTCTTGTGTCTTTGACCGAGATGGCAATGGGTCGGGGACGGATAGTGCATATCCGTTACCCTATCCAAAGTACTTCGGGTTTTACCAATACCCATATCCACATGTGAAACGGGTAGAAAATTTAAACCATGCCCATATCCGTTCGGGTTTCGGGTATCCACGGTTATCCATGGATATTAATTTCTTTTCATAACTCCAACCAATATGTTAACATTCACACGTACTCTTATATTAAGTAAGAGAAAAAGTACGACAAGAATTCACTAGAATGAAGAAAATTAACTAAACCAACACAATTTCATGAAAATGTTATATTTATATGCTAAATATAAAATATGTTAGAGAAAAATAATGATTATTTCTAGACAAAATACATATGCATGTGTATAATCGGGCGGGTTCGGGTCGGATAGTGAGAAATCCATGCCCACCCATTACCTGCAATAATCGGGTTTCGGGTTTTACCCGTACCCACTAAATGTCCTTCGGGTTCGGGTTTTACCCTACCCGATTAGGCCGGATTCGGGCGGATATCCACGATTACGGATATTTTTGCCATCCCTATAATGGTCGGCTTAAGTCCGTTAGATACTATTTTTTTGGGCATTCTCAATACTGATATCCTCAACCTCAAGTCCATGAGACCATGACTATCAAGCTTGGGCTAGATTGCAGGAGCCATATCTTATCTTATCTTATCTTACTATATATTATGGTTGTTCAAAAACAACTTCTTGCCACATAAGCACTTGAAGAATTCACAAGTTGCCAAGGTGGACAATTTTTGCTCAAGCAAAAAAGTTAGCTAATGGCCTATTTATGGAATTATCTCTCTCTTCTTTTAATGATGTTTTCTTTTATTCAATAATTATTTTTTATTTTTATATTATATCTATGTTTATAGAAAAAGACTAATGTTAATTACCGAAGAATAAAAAAGACTAATGTTTGTAGAGTGATATATCACATTTGTTTAAACAAAAAATATCTTACTAAACTTGATCAAGTGAATTTTCTATTGTTTTTTACAGAAACTAAATAATAAGTTATATGTTATTGAAAATTTTAAACACACACATAAACAATAATATTTTCATCGATTAAACAAAATATAACGATGGAAATAGAGAAAATAACTATTAGAAAATCAATCTACTTTAAAAAATGAACTATGTTATTTTATATTTTTGGCTATTAAACACTCTCTTATTTAGAGATGGCAACCAAACCCATGGTCGCAGGTACCCAAGCGTCTCCAACCCAGTCAATACGGGGAATCTCCGCATTGATTGGGTATGGGGAAAACCCGCAAATTTTTTGATGGAGATGGGCGGATATGCTTTTGAAATCTCCATCCCCATACCCAAACCCGCCCCACCGAGGATATTATGTTATATACAAAAAATATAACATCTACTTATGTAATTGATGGCAACCAAACCGTAATTTCATCCACTTATGTATCAGTTCCATAATTTTGGGCAGGTTGTACCCATACTTTTTTACATATTTTTTATGGTGAGTAGCTGATGGGACGAGTATTACCCATGACCATGGGTATCCGAAAACCGCGAGTATGGAGATGAGTTTGTAAAACCTTCCGTCGTATGGGTATGGGGCGGGTATGAGTTTAGGTATTTGAAAATTGGGATGGTGATGGTTTAGGCAAACCCGCCCCATTACAATCCCTACTCTTATTTCAAATTAATATATCTATAAAATAAAATAAGTATTATATAGTAAAAGGTCTGAATAGAAACTTGATGATGTACAAGTATTATATGGCATGTGAGTGTTAGAGAAATCTTTGTTGACGATGTACGATAAACATTATCTTTCATCAACCACTGACCTGCATTAATCAAACATGGGTTGACAATTTTTGTTAAATAGTTGAATGTCTTCTACATTAAAAGCCTTCATAGTTAGAAGATTCTAATAAGTCATTTGGTTGCATGGTTGTGAGTATGTGACTCCATACCTAATTTTGGCGATAAAAAAAATTTATCATATCAAAGTGTCGAAACAAAAATGTTAGTTTGTACCAGTAAGCAATATGTATTTAGATTGAATTATCCTATCCACAAAATTTTGTTGCGTATATTGAACGAGGTGTGTTCAAAGGTCTTAATTAGGGTTAAAAAACAAAGTAAACTCTTTATATACGTTTAGATATTAACAATAGATGTGTCTACAATACATCCAAGAATTCATCCGTGTGAAATGTCACAATGTTTGTATGAGTTTTTTTTTAAAATCAACTTAGTCAAAAAAAAATTCTTTAAATGATACGACGTTTCTAATGCACCTATATCTGTGTATTGTAGTTGCTGACATGATTTATCAATTATTAAGATATATAATGCAAATTTTTGTTCCAGATGTAACACCAAAAATAAGGAAAATTTTGTAAATTCACATTTAAAAAGTTGGAAAGTTATACACTAACGAATCATGTTAAGACCAGAAACCTTAAAAGTGTGTAAGAGTGTCTTGGTATGAGATTCTTACAAGCCAACATGTAGACAACAACCATGGGTCGAAGGTTATTACAAATTTCAAGAATTAGCAATTGGTACATATTGAGTAAATAAAATTTAATATCTGTACCTTTCAGAATTTTTCAATATTTTAACCAAATCTTTTGTATTAAATCTTTTGTATCGCATCAAAATATTAACCATTTTACTATTATTTTTAATAATTTTTAAAATCTTTTCTTAATTTAAATACAAATTTTTTTGAAAGGCATAACTATTAAATTTTCCTAACAAAAATGCTAACGAGGGTTAACGTTTGGCTAATAATTTTAAAGTTTGGTTAATAAATTGTATTTACTCTATTGTATAAGATACTAAATTTGAGTGTCTTGATAGACAAATTTAGACATAAGATCCTCAGCAGAGACTTAATGAACATTCACATAAAAATGAGTTAAGATTAGATAAGTTAATCATCGTAAGGAGTATGGCGTGTGTCAAGTTTCACTTGGGATAAACACATTTTATCCAATAATCAAGTATTTCTATCCAATAATCTGAACTCTTAATAATTGTTTGAGAGTTTGTCCTAACTCGAGAATCACAAATTGTTATATGTTTTCTAATATTAGAAATTTGAGTGGCTTGGTTGACAAACTTTTGTATATATTCTAAATGTGACGTGATAAACCTTTAAAATATGATTTATGATTGGAGAATCGAAACCTATGAACATCACAGGTGGGTGTGCTAAATATTAAGAATTTTTAATATGAACATATAGCATACTCACTTATGAAGTGTGAGCATAAAAAAGTTAGAAGATTAAAAAAGTTTTAAACATATACATAAATTAATTTCTATAAATGATAAAATGAAATTTTCCGACCAACGGGCCGGGTAAAAAACTAGTGAGAATTAGGGGTCGTTTGCTTCAAGCCTTCAAAGATTTGCATCATGAATTTGGTACCAAAAAACTAATCATCATGGATTTACACACAATCTGTTGTTTGTTTTATCAAAATATATTTAGATAAATATGTAGGCCCCACAGATTTGGGTTTTTTTCTCCAAATCCATGGGCCCCATGGTTTTATAAATCTCACCTCATACCCTGAGATTTGGAGACAAGCTGAAAAACCATCAAATCCATGATAAAAATAGCTCAACAAACAAAGGATTTTATCAAATCCATAATGCTCAATATCCCTAATAAATCCCAAGGTTTTATTAAGCAAATCCATGACAAAACCCTCATTATAAAATCCTTAAAGCAAACGACCCCTTAAATATGGACTATTGGGGCTAGAGGAATTTTCAAGTCAGACCTGGATCATATAAAAATTGAAACGAGAGATTCGTGTAAACCCACTTCTATGAAGTATGAAGGATTGACATTTTAGATATTTGTTAAGTTATTTAGAGATATTTTGTAACATCTTAGACAAATATCATATAAAAAACTAGGGAATAGATTCATAATTTATAAGTAATTGATATTAACTGACAATACGTATTTTGGAGGTGAAAAGGAAAAGTTTTTGTAATTTGTAAGAACTCCAAAGTTAAACTTGCTTACAATGGAGCAATGCAAATATCGGAAATACCTTGATATGCACCCAAGGAAAAAAATCATGCTGATTTAGATTCAAAACAAACAATATATTGGCGGGAAAATGTACAGGATGTTACAAAGTGGTATCGAGCTTCTCCGTGTTCCTCTTGAGCGATAATGGGGCAGACTTCGATGAGGACATTAAATTCCCGAGGAAGTGTATACAACACTTTAGTCAAATCACAATTCGACAAAGTACGTGAGAGGTTTATGATTTATACATAAGAAATCGACATTATATGCTGAAAGGAAAGAGTTCTTCTAACTAAATGGTAACATAGTACCACTCTACCAAAAGCTTTATAACTTAGAAATTAATTTGCCATAGAAGACAATTTTGACTATTGTATTTTTATAGGTTTGATTGTTATTATTATTTTTTTTACGAAATAAAATGTTTTACTATTAAATTATTTTAGTCCATTTATTTTTATTTTAGTTCGATGTATACACTAAATTGCATCATGAGACATATATTTGGTTGAGAAGTTAATAATTTGACTACTATATTTATATTTCAAAAAATTGTCACTCTATGAATTGTCACCCTGATTACTAACTTGCGTTACAAAAAATTGATTGTTTTTGTGAGATGATTTGAATACTTTGTTAGAAAAATTTGGTGATAAATTATATGAATTTGAATTTTTTATAGTTAGTGATAATTTCACTCATACATTAGTGTATTATAAATGTCTTTTATGTTATAACGCATGAATGGTTCTGTTAATAATTAACCAATAGTTTATAACTGTTAATCGTTGAACAATCAACCACTTACTTTTACGGTTCTGTATCTGATCCGGTTCTTAAAACATCGGCAAAATCCAAGTTTACCCATTAAATTATTTTAAGTATTTTGTAAAAATTCCTTGAATTTTTTTCTTATAAAAAAATCCTTCTTCTATTGCTTTCTTATAAGGGGAACTCAAAAGGAGGCAAAAGATTTCACCAACGGGCCAACACGACTATCACCTTCTAAAATTCTCTCGATTCTCAAGCAATGGCGAGAACCAACCAGGAAGCAATCGATACATTCATCAGCATCACCGGCGCCACCGAATCTGTCGCCGTTCAGAAACTCGAGGTTGGTTGCTCTTCTCTTCGCCTCCTGTTTAGCTTTCCCCCCTTTAAGATATTTTTTATTTATCGGCGGGCAGTTCGGGAATTGATGGAGATTTTTACGCCGCTTCTGCCATCTGCGGGACCAACTGAGTTGCAGCTATTGGAGCTGTTTTCATTTTATCTGGCTGTTATTTAGGGTTTCTACTTCGCTTAGCATTGGTGATTGGAAGGCGCTGTATTCAGTGTGTGATTAGCGAAAGTAGGCGATGTATTTCTGTAAGTTGTTGTTAAGATCAGTGGAATTGTTATTGGGTTCGTACGGGAGTTGAGTAAAGTTCGTTTCTTTTCGGTCAAGTTAGTTTAAGTGATTGTCAGGAAGCATGGAATCTAGGATTTCTTATCATTATCTTGGTCAATTTTCTGATCGTTCAAGGCAGAATTTGAGACCTTTTTCAATAACCCGTCACACTGTACTGATGATTCCTTGTGTGATTGCCGTTTGAGAGCACCAGGAGAAACTCAGGAGTAATTATCTAGTCCTTAATTCCGAAATCTTCCGATGCTGTGTTATATTCGTTTTAACTGGCTGGTCTTGTTCCCATAGCTGTAAACTGATTAGTTAAAATCTGAGTTTGGCGTTTTGGCCTAGTTGCTTGGATCATGTTCACAGACGATGGACCTGGTTTGTGCTTAGAAATTAGACATATAGCTTGTAGCTGTGTGTTCACTTGTGCTCCAGAACTTCAGATGCTTGATTTCTTGCGAGTTTATGGTTGAGTTAAGGCTGGTTTTGAGGCTATTTTCTCCTTTTTGTTTTTCTTTTATAGTTCTGCACTTGTAAGCTTATGGTGCCAGATTGAGATGTTCTAAATCACTGTCCTTTTTTTTGTCTCAATTAGGAGCATGCTGGTGATCTCAATGCAGCTGTCAATGCCCATTTCACTGAAGGAGACAGAAGCAGGTAATTATCTGCAGCTGTGTTCAGTCTTTTTTGTTTCACTGCTTTTGGACCTTTTGCTCCATGTTGCTGATCAGTGTCAGTTCATGTTTAGGCAGTGCCTGTTCTTCAATTGTGCCCTGGTATTGATATTTCAAGTTGCTTTCTCTAATCTGCAGCTTCAATGCACCATCTGTCCCTGCTCGCGAAGATGACATGATGGATATAGATGATGATCCAATTGAAACTGCACCAGCTAGGAGACATCCCTTGTCTCTACTCTCGGATCCAGGTCTTACAAACCCATTCTCACTCCTCGATCCACAATTTCCTAGAAGGTTGTTTGATGGTGTTTCGGATTTTGGGAGCCGTGCACCTTTTGTTACACAACCAAGACAAGTGAGAGAGATACCGATAGAGGTCAAGGACAGCTCTGATTCTTCTGGTCGATCAGGTCATGGCCCTGTCATCGAGGATGTAACTGGAACTGACTTGGAACATGAAACTGGCATCCATGGGACTGTAATTATTGATGATGATGAAGATGATGATATTATTCTTCCGGGACCCAATGCAAATGCTGCTGTTAACCGAGACGGGCAAGATGTAGATGTTTTAGGTGTCAGTTCTCACGAGGGACTCCGGCCTGGAGCTCCAGTACTTAATAATTCACTGGAATATAGCAATGACATAGAAGAAGAGATGGTTAGGGCTGCTATTGAGGCTTCAAAACGTGAGGCTGGGGTAAGAAATTCCGTAGACTTCATATAATTTCCTTTCTTTCTCTTTGGTCCTTATCGTAAGTATTCAATGTGATTTATTGGTTGTTGTATTTATCGCACTTGTTGAACAGGAATTAAGTGATCCTGGACCTTATCATTCTGGTGACGCTGAATTAGAACATGCAGTTTCATTATCAATGAAGGTTTTTGTTTCTCTTTTCCAATTAGATTTCATTTTTATAAGCATGCTTTGTCCATGTCTAATATGTTATTTTTTCAGGCAGCAGAGCAAGAAAAGGCATTGCGTGAACTTAAGGGCAAGGTTGCAGCAGTATCAGAAGCAGGAGCGTCGTCTGAGCCTGAGACTAAAATAGGGGAATCAAATGGAAGGTATGTGTCTCTTGTTACTTGGCTAACATATACAATGGTTTCTGGTTTTCAGACTTACTACTTTAGTTTGCACATTGAGTTCTCCTATATCAAATAGCTGTAGAAGGATTCCAAAGTTGGGTCCCCACTGCTTGCAGGGAAGCAATTTGATAGGGGTTGTTTTCCCCAACATGGTGCAGGTTAGAGGCAGGCGGATCATCTATCCAAGATGACGTTGAAGAAGATGTGGAGGAGCAACCTCTCGTCAGGCATAGATCAAGACGTTCTTCTTCTAGCTCTCTGGAGTTTACCAAAGATGGAGGCACTGAGGCTGACCAACCGTCAACTGCCATAGACAACAACAATGCAAGTAGTGAAACAGGGATTAATGGGAATGCTTTTCCTGCTGAGGTAACTTGAAGTGCTTAATTTTTTTAGCATTAGCATTTTGCTGATATTGGATATGGAGCTTATATATTTAACTTTGTCTTTGCAGTGGGGCGGCATTTCATCTGAGGAACATGATGAAGCTGTGATGCTTGAGGCAGCAATGTTCGGTGGAATTCCTGAAGCATCTGGATATCAATTCCCTTATGCACCTCATCAGTTCATGCAAAGAGAAGGTGGCCCTTACCGTAGGCCAGCACCACGTCCTCCATCACCTTCTCTGCAAGCTCAACGTTCAATCCGTGAGCAACAGGTCGCTATAATTGTAACTGAAGACTCTTAAATTTGAACTACCATAGGGTCTTTCTGTTCTGTATAAAATATAATTACCTTCAATCTAAAAGCCACCTCACTTGTAAAATTTCATTTCTTTGCTAAAAAAATTCAAACTTTTTCTATTTGGAATGAGAATTTAGTATGAAAGTTACATTTGCGATAGTTAATTTTCGAAATCCACTCATTTCTTTTTCATATTCTCATACCAACTCTTTTTTAAAACTCAACCAAACTTTAATTTCTTCTTCTTTTTACTTCAACATAAAAAGGTGTGTTTTCCCTCCAACCTTGATGTTGTACGACTTCTTCTTGGGGTGCAGGATGATGAGTATCTTGCATCGTTGGCTGCTGATAGAGAGAAAGCTGAAGCACGTCGTCTGGAAGAGGAAGCGGCTAGGGCAGCTGCTCTAGAACAAGAGAGACTGAAAGAGGAAGCAAACCGTAGGAAGTTGGAGGAAGCACAGGTAACGCTTGGTGCATACCACACGCGATACTATTTCCCTTCTTCATGGGGTTCTGAGTACGGATTAAAATTTGTTGTTCCTGGCAGGAAATCGAGAGACATTTGGCTGCTAAGGAAGCTTCACTACCTCAGGAGCCAACTCCAGATGAAGAAAATGCTGTTACGCTCTTGGTGCGTACCCCTGATGGGGCTCGCCATGGCCGTCGGTTTCTGAAGTCGGACCGCTTGCAGGTAAGATCATCTTTGAAAAGAAAACCGCCAACATTCAAAAGTATTTCCCATCCAACTATGGGATTTCCCTTAACTATGTTTGTTTGTACTTTGACAGTCCCTTTTCGACTTCATTGATGTCACTAGGGTGGTAAAGCCCGGCACCTACAGATTGGTAATGCTTCCATCTTTGAGCTTAATACATATCATGGAGTTGATCTAGACCATCATTTTTCTGATTGAAATCGAACGTGCATTGTTTCTTGGACAGGTGAGGCCATACCCTAGGCAAGCCTTCAGTGATGGAGAGACGGCCTTAACCTTGAGTGAACTTGGCTTGACCAGCAAACAAGAAGCCTTATTTCTGGAGTTGATCTAGAATAATATGTATAATGTCGAAGCTGTAGAGGGACGTCCTTTGTTATTCAGTCGACTTACTAGTTATTATTGAAACATTAGAAGTCGATACATGAAAATTGAAATTGGGCGGGGGTGGGAAACCAGGGGATCATATTATGTTTTTGGGTTTTGCTTGCACATAGCAGAAACATTCAGTTCAGTGTGACGAGGACGAATGATTCATCCGACAATGTGCATGGCAATGAGCTAGAATCATGTGGTGTGGTGGTTTTGGTTGATCATGTACATACCCAATAATGGTTTTTCCAGATACTGGATGTGGATTTGGAGGGCTTATGGTTTTTGGCTCAGTTCTTTGGAAGTTGGACCGTTCTGAACCGAACCGACTTTTCAGCCAGCCTCAACCTGCCTGCGGTTACAATGCTCTGCGGCAGCGGTCATTACTCTAGATTATACCATTCCTCGTCTAACATTTTTACCGTTGGCTGCTGGTTATTATGTCATGTCTGCCTGCTTTTTTATTGGGGTCAAAATAACAATGTGATCCTTACCCAGTTCCCCCTCTTTCTTTTTTGCTTTAATGATTTATTAGAGGAACAGTTCATCATTGACGGCATAATTGTGTTTCTAGCAGGGGAGACACGTTAGACAATAGCCCGACTCCATGCATGGACGGAGAGTAGAGCTTCTTTTTGACAAAGTAGGGAGAGTAGAGCAGGGAACAAGTTTTACTAACCATTTGTGGTGAATTGTAAAGAAACCTAAAGCTTCTATTCGTTGCTAGAGAATTTCAAACACAAAAGCATAATTTTGCCGTTATGGTGAACTGAAGTTGTTTGGATGGTGATTCTTGATAGACTGATAGCTACAGAAAATTTATACAGGTGAAGGAAGGATATTGTGTCTTCTTTTGCTTATTCTAGAGGGAATCAATGAACCTTTTTTTCTCTCTTTTAATGCCTATTTTTATGATAGTTTCTTCATTATTTTACTGCACTCATGTTGTTTAACCGAAACTAAGCTTCACAGAGATGGTTGGAGATGATTTGTGGGATGATTGACAATTGTAATGTTGTTGCTATGGTATCAGAGATGTTCAAAGAAATGTGCAACATACAAATGTGGCAAATCAGGTAGATATAATGCAATCCTATTAGCATCTCATACACAATTTAACATCTGGTCTGACATTCTTGACACTTCATAATTGGAGCATGGCTTCCACCTTATATCAACAAATTTTCTTTTATGGTATTTGAACCACTTTGAGATCTTTTTTTATATGATATAAATGTTATTTTGTTACTCAATTGTATTTGGTAGCCTTAGGCAGATTCTAGCGTATTGCTTTGTATTGGTACTTTTTCAGTTCTTGTTTGTGTTTAATAAAGAAAGACGGCAAAACGTATAAGCAAAATAACCTTAGTTATTATTATTTGGGTTAATTGTTTTAGTTTGAATTGTAGCATTTTTAATACTTTTTGTGACTAAATTAGTGAATCAGCGGACCAATAATCTAGTTTCATATATGATTGTAAAATTCATTTTGTTCACCACTAATCATCCAAGCAAACGATCCAATTGCTATTTTTTAATATGTTTGATGATTCTACTAATTCGAGTATACGATTGTTGATCGGTTCGATTCTTATAACGAGGAGTTTAAGACTTTAACCTATTGATCTTGGCCATTTCCATAAAAAGCGAGTGACGTCATAGGTTTCCGAAAAAGGACATGTTTAAGGATTTACAAGAACGTCTCATAAAAAGGTCATATAATCCCACGTGGCAACCTAAATAAAGAAATGGACCAAAGAAATAAAGGATCACGTAATCTAATCCATCTGGCCCACGCCACACTAAACCATCCAAGTGAGACAGCCCCGCCCACGTAAACCTTGCCACGTAATATCACCAACCCTAAATGACTGCTTCTGCTTCCTCCACGTGTCTCCCCATTTACACAAAACTAAAGCATAATAATAATTAATAATCCTTTTTCCTTACCTACTTATCCACGCTTGACAAGTGATAATTAAGCACGCTAATCAAGGGGGTTAATGGGCGAAGGGAAGTTGATTAACTTTTTTTACCCCAACGGTCCACTGAAACGGGCATCAAAATCAGGCCTTCCTAGAAGGCTGCAGTCGCCACGTGCGCTCCACGTGTCCTGCCACACAGTCACCCACCAAAAAGATAAAACTGAAGAAAAAAGAGAAGAATAATAAAATACAGAGCCCACACGTCCTCTCTCACTCGCTGGTCCGTACTAAATACCAACTTTCAACGGCCATATTTGACCGACATCTTCCAACGGTCACTTGAAATTGAGCGTCCACACCGTCCGATCTTCAATCCAACGGCCAACCAAAGATTTCCCGAACGCACTGTAATTTATGTTTCCGGTAAGATAATAAAATAACAATTAATAATGGCGGGGAGGGAGGGAGGTCCACGGAATGTAGAAAAAGAGCTGTGATGGAGACAGCCATTGGAGCTCTTTAGTAGGGGAGAAGTAGGAGAAACGTATTAGCCAGTAGAGAGAGAGAGTGAGAGAGTGAGGTAGAGAGAGAGAGAGTGAGAGATAGACAGCAGGGGAGAAGGGAGAGACGTAGCTTTACTAGGTTTGCAGAGTGGTTGCATAAAGACGGAAACTTTGGATGTTTTAGGTTCTCGTTTTGGGGAAATAGTGTTTTGGGTTGAAGGCAGAGAGTTTTTGGAGATGAGGGTACTTTCTTGATTGTTCTGTTTGTTTCTACGTCATGCATGGGGTTTCTGGGTATTGCATTGAGTCATGTTTTCTGTGTAATGGGGTTGCTGAAGGCGTCATATGTTCATCTGGGTAAAGGGATTTTTGTTGATTTGAGCGTTTCAGAGCTTTCAACTGTGTGTGTTCTTATGCATTTCTTGTCTCTGATGAGTTTGGTTTGTTGACGGTTTTGGAATCCGATGATTTCTTGTATTTGCTTTCTAACTGTTTGATGAATTGTCTAGACCAGGAAAAACAAATTCTTTGATTCTTTCTGGGTTGGGGGTGGGACATTGATTGATCATTCATTCATTCTTCCTGTTGTTAATCCAAATTCTTTCATTCTATTTGTTAAATACATACATCATCTATAGGTGTTTAGTTGATTCTTTATTATAGGCTTCCTTTGGTTTTTCTCATCGGATTCCTGTTTTTCTCTCTCTTTAGGTTGATAGATAGATCCATACACTCACATTACTTGAGTTTCCTTTCTGAAAATACCCTCTTTGTGGATTTCAAACATTCAGAAGCTTACATTACATGTGCATTTAGTAAAGGAGACCTTGAGGTTCATAGTTAAGAAATTTTTTAGCAGAGGTGGGAAGAGAGGGTGAGAGAAGAAAGGGAGAGGTTGAACAAAATAGGGAGTGTGAGGGGAGAAAAAACCAAAAAAGAAGAGCAGAATTGGAAGGATATAGAGGATGTTGGCTGGTTGTTCTAGTTCCACATTGTTGTCACCTAGGACTAGATTGAGAAGCGAGTCAGCAGCAGCAGCAGCAGCACAGTTTCCAGCTTGTCATTTCCAGTTACCATCAATGAGCACACAGAGATTGGACTTGCCATGTTCATTCTCTCGGAAAGAGTCCACAAGATCACAGCACATTAGGCCCGTTGGAGTCGTCGGCCTTTCAGTTGACAACAAGCCACTCGAATCCAAGACCAGCACTTGTTCTCTCAGGCAGAACATCCGGCTCCCTCCATTGGCAATAGCAACAGTTGATCAGTCAGATTTCAAGGATGAGTTTTGGGACAGGGGAGGTAACAACATTTCGAAGAGGAAGAAGAGGTTTGCAGCAGATGACGACGAGTCTTGCAACATCAGGGCCAAGAGGAAGAAAGGTGAGTCTACTGATGTTCATGAAGGAGGTGGTGATGGTGTGAGATTAGGCCAGTTTGGTGGTGCAAATTTCTGGTTTCAACCAGGTTTTCTTCACGTCCCTAGAGGCACAAACGACCCATCACAACTTCCTTTCTCCTTGACATGTTCAGGGGAAGATGAAAGGGTTTGCTATGTCCCTAGTGAATTGATTACACCGCCTCTGCCACCATTGTCCAACAACAACCCATGGGTTGACTCGGTTATAACTGAGATTACTGACGTAGGGGAGAACTATGGAGAGAGCAGCCGGATCCCAGTGAAAGAAGCTTCTTCAGGCTCAAGTCCTTCATCAGAAAGTCAAAGCTTGGGGCACAGGTCATTAAGTGAGAATGTTGAGGAGCATGAAGTGGGCAATGGCTCAAGCAATCCTCACCATGCCCAACCAGGAGCAACTGCCGATGCTGCAGCGGAGGACGATCAGCAAGGAGAATATCGGGGTTTCGAGTTAGTCAGCTTGCTCACATCTTGTGTTGAAGCAATCGGGGCAAAGAACATTGCAGGGGTAAACCATTTCATTTCCAAGTTGGGGGAGCTTGCTTCTCCTAGGGGGAATTCGATCAGCAGGCTGAGTGCTTACTACACTGAGGCTCTGTCCCTCAGGGTTACAAGGACTTGGCCACACGTATTCCATCTCAACATTCCACGTGACCTTGAACGGGTTGAAGATGATTCAGGCACTGGATTAAGGCTTCTGAATCAGGTGAGCCCAATCCCAAAATTCGTACACTTCACTGCCAATGAGATATTGTTGAAGGCATTCGAAGGGAAAGACAGGGTTCACATCATTGACTTCGACATCAAGCAAGGTCTTCAGTGGCCTAGCTTGTTTCAGAGCTTGGCATCTAGAGGCAACCGACCGAGCCACGTTAGACTCACCGGAGTTGGAGAATCGAAGATGGAGCTTAACGAGACCGGTGACAGGCTAGCTGGATTTGCGGAGGCGCTGAACTTGCCATTCGAGTTCCATCCTGTTGTTGATAGGTTGGAAGATGTGAGGCTATGGATGCTTCATGTAAAAGAAGGAGAAACTGTTGCAGTGAATTGTCTCTTCCAGATGCACAAGACACTGTACGACACCAGTGGAGTAGCAATGAGGGATTTCCTGGGATTGCTCAAGAGCACGAACCCGGTAACGGTGGTGATGGCAGAGCAGGAAGCAGAGCATAACGGCCTCAGCTTGGAATCCAGAGTATGTAATTCATTGAAATACTACTCTACAGTATTTGACTCCATTGATTCTGGCCTACCATTGGAGAGTCCAGTGAGGATGAAGGTAGAGGAAATGTTTGCAAAGGAGATCAGGAATATAGTTGCTTGCGAAGGGATTGACAGACTTGAGAGACATGAGAAGTTTGGGAAATGGAGGAGCTTAATGGAGCATGGCGGGTTTCGGTGTAACGGGATCAGTGAGAGGGAGTTTCTTCAGGGGCAGATGTTGTTGAAGATGTATCCCTCTGGGAGCTATGGAGTTCTGAAGCAGCAGCAAGGGCAGGAAGACGGCAGCGTGGCAGCACTCACTCTGACTTGGTTGGAAGAGCCGCTCTACACAGTCTCAGCATGGACACCTGTGGACAACATTGCAGGAAGCTCGTCCTCGTTTTCTCAACCTTAAGTTTGGATCTTTTCTTTCATACCATACAGAAAAGGGAGACAGAAGAATTCTTTGTAGGTAGCCAAAAACAAGTCAGTGATTGTTATTACTATTCGTTCATTCTTTTCGTTTGCAAATATATAGCTTTTGTCAGTCGGAGATAGTGGCATTGAGAACATTTGTTTGTATGAAATACAGATAGTTTTATCATACTGGTTTCAAGAGTCCTAGAGTCAGGCGTCTATAAGAATAGGAAGGTCAAATTCAAATGTATTCGTTCATTCTTTGTTATGTACTGAAGAAACAGATAGATACTTGCAGTTCTGGTCATCATTCATTCACATGAGTTCATTCAAATTCTGTGAAATATGAAATAAAAATTCAGCATACTTGTCCTCTTGTCTCTTTCACTCTTCTCTTGCTGTACCAAAACACTGGAGATCATTACACAATTTCAGTATTTGCTTCTCAAGGTTAAACCATATTTCTCACTCATACTATGTGTCAGTTGGGTTCTTTCTTTCATCTGGAAGTGACCGATCAAAGAAGCAACAATTAAGGACACATGTGTAATGTGTTCTAGCCATGGTTGGTTAGTCCACGGCAAATTCTTCTCCCTGAACATAATGGTATGAACTCAAATTCATTCCCCTTAAAGTCCACACTTGGGTTGGTTGTTTAAGAACCTCTGGGCTCAATTGCTATTCCCAGTTTTTCGGGTCTCGTCCGATTGCCTAGAAGTTCACTAGAACCTGAGAGTTCTTTTGGGATGCTATTGCTCATCACCTGGCAAGATTCAATGGCTCAGAGAGTTCTTTTGGGATGCTATGGTTCATCACTTGACAAGATTTAATGGCTCAGAAGTTCACCAGAACCTGAGAGTTCTTCTCGATGTGCAAACAGGAATGGACCTGGAGGGTGCAGCCTTAAGGTTTCTTTGAAACAAGCTTGTATATTAGAGTAGATATGGTAGCTGTGTTATGCATGATTCTTTGATAAAAACTTCTTCTTGTTCCATTGCCGGTGGAACTTCTTCTTCAAGTTTTTTCATGCACTTGGGAGTTGGGATTCCTTATCAGCTCTGCCATCATCCACTCGATTGTTGAGCAGTTGGTATCTGTTCCAGCTGACAGTAGCTCCTGCAAAGTTCATGATGAGAAGAAGTATAAAGATGGACAAAATATCCAGGTATTAGGGAGGTATTAGGGATCGTTTGGAAGTTGTGATTGTTAGAGTTGTATTTGTTTATTAAAGTGTAAAACAATGCATGCATTATTTTAGATTTGTCCCACCAACAATTACAAAAAATGATGCATTATACAATCTCAACTAAAAGTTGTGATTGTTGTGATTGTTGCTTTTAGATTTGTGTCAACCTTTTTTCCATTTATATCCCTAAGAATTTTTGTCTTATACTAAAAGTTGAGGGTAAATATGACATTTCCCCAAGTAACTTTATGTAAATCAATGCATAAAGTAGAATCTCACAACCAAACAATGCGGGTTGGATTCGGTCCTTAAGCATGATTGTTTAAGGAGGTTCTTAAATCATTTTTATTGGCTGATACTAAATTAGATAGTTAATGAGGGGTTAGTAATTAATATTTAGTTGGAATAAATAAGATATTATAAAAATATAATTAATATTACTCATTAATGATTCTCTTTCTCTCTCCCCCTTGATCTTCTCCATAACCCTCTCTCTCCACTACAATTAAAAGGAAATTCGAAATTAATTTAATTAAATATTATTATTTAATATTTAATAAATTCGAACTTAATATTTTTTATTTTTTAAAATGAAAATTAAAAATTAAAAATATATGCTCTCTCTCACTTCGTGGCAACTTGCAATACAATATTAACATTTTGCAATGACATTATCAACATTTATGAAATAAATCGTTATTATTGTACCTCATCATTATTAACGACTTCAATATACTTATCAATTCCTTACAATTACATTATTATCAAATTCGGATCAATTGTTACTGTTTTATAGTTTTGTCATCAATGCCTATGAATGAATCATTAAAGTTATGTAACATAGTCATTAATAGTTTGAGTAACAATATCATTGATTTACAACATCTTTAGTACTAATGATTCACATTTTCATATCATGTTTATGACTATCTAGTCATGGCCTCTTCCAAGGAATGGGTTAGAGTGATTACTTGTTTTTTAGTAATCACGGTGGCAACCTCTTTATATACCATTTGATTAATTATTTTTCCTTCTTTTTTAATCTTACGGTCAAGATTCTTTTAGGGTAATTTTGGAAATTAAAAAGTGATCACACCTGATTATTCTATATAATCTACCTAAACCCTAGTTCTATCCTCCCTCCAGCCAAACCCGTCGCAGCCGCCTCCACGTACCACTCCCGTCGCACCGCCGGCAGGAGCCCCGACCACCCTCGGCCACCGCCGGCAGCAACCCCGACCACCCTCGGTACCCCCCTCTCTCTCTCTCTCTCTCTCAGCCGGGGAACTTGTTGGCGAAGATGGAGACACCGGTTCCGCATCAAAAGTTTGTAATATATATATTTTTTTTCTATGCCTCAAATCTTGTCACATGTAAGCACTACTTAGTGATGCTGATTGAAATTACGAATAAAGTATAGTTTAGTAATGGCTTAATTGCAAGTTTGGTCACTCGAATTGCTATAAAATTTTACGTTTGCCACTCAAATTAATTTATTCCATTTATAGTCACTCGAATTAGTTGAACAGTTCAAGTTCGGTCACTCTCCGTTAACCTCCGTTAACTTTGACTGACGTGGCGGTCAACTCTGACAGTTGACCGTTAAATGTGTGACGTGGCAAATAAAAAAATAATTAAAAAATAAAAATTAAATTTTTAGAAATTACACATCATTATCACAAAAAATTATAATTATAAAAAATGAAAAAAAGAAATTATCACAAAAACTTGAATTGCCGCTCCGACCACTATGTTTCCAGATCGGACTTCCAACGTCACCGAATTGGCCGGCGGCATTGACATCTCGACGACAACCTTCTCGTTCCACTGAGGGTAGCTCCCGCCGTCGGAATCCGCCCTGGTCGACCTGGAATTGAAGAACGGGTCGGTTTTCACGACGGCGAACGCGTTCTTCTTGACGGGTCTCCCCTCGAGGCGGAGGTCCTCTGCTGAGAGGATAGTGAATTCGAGAGTCCGGGTTCCGGCGGCCGCCATTTTGAGCGTCGGAATGTGTACGAGATACCATAAGCGCCGCCATTTTGAGCCTGTGATATCCTTTGCATGAACAGAGCCGGATTTACTGGCAGAGTGCTGGCGAATCCTTTGCATGAAACGACCAGGTTGCTGATGGGGCACGCACAGTTGTTGATCACTTCCACGTTCCATTGCAGCTCGCCTTCGCGCGTATTACCGCTCCTCGTCGTCCCAATCGTCACGCCGTTCAGATCGCAGTTGCACAGCCCTGCGATTGCGCCACGATTGATGGAGGTCTCTGTGTGCATGTCTACAAACTTGAGATTAAATGGTATGATCCCCTCTCATAGCATCCATGTTCTTGCTGCATCCCCGTTTATGTTTCATCTCTTACTACAGTTCTATATATTTTTTTTTTATGAAGGTGAAAGCTTTTATTCAAAATATGAAAAGGAGTAGAAACGGAGCACTAGCAAACATAGACCAAAAAGAAGAAGAATAAGAAATAGCAAGGGTCAAGAAACAACAACAAAAAAACCCCGCAGAACAGTAGCATAGGAAAAGAGGTCGTTGTTGTCGGAGATTGCCGCCTTTGGAAAGTCAAAGCAGAGATTCCTGGTGAGCTCCGTACTTTTATTCCCAGTTTGTTTACCCATGTCCATGGATGCTCAAAACCATATTTCCCCCTTCCATTTCCATATCTGCTTCGCGACCGAACTGCTCGATGGATCTACTTCAGACGACGTTGCTGCTGACGGCGGCGGCAAGTTCGCACAACTAAACAAGATTATAATTTTTTGATAATTTCTTTTTTTCATTTTTTATAATTATAATTTTTTTTATAATGATGTGTAATTTCTAAAAATTTAATTTTTATTTTTTAATTATTTTTTATTTGCCATGTCAAACATTTAACGGTCAACTGTCAGAGTTGACCGCCACGTCAGTCAAAGTTAACGGAGGTTAACGGAGAGTGACCGAACTTGAACTGTACAACTAATTCGAGTGACTATAAATGGAATAAATTAATTTGAGTGGCAAACGTAAAATTTTATAGCAATTCGAGTGACCAAACTTGCAATTAAGCCGTTTAGTAATGGTAGCTTCAACTTGCTCGCATTTAAATGAAACATTCAACCATCCATTTGCGAGGGACTCCATCACTGTAGGGCACCACAACCCAACGTAATTTGCAGCACTCGGTACTCGGAAGACTTGGTTGGACTCCCGATGATCGTAAGTGAGATATTTCTAGTACTTACTATTATATATAGTAGACTAGCCATCCACCGCGCTTTGCCGATAAAAAGTATTTTGATTTTTTTTTTTTACAATTGGGCTTACCAAATTGACCAAATGCACCATTTTTTAACTTTCATATGAAATAGTATAGGTTTATTCATTTATATTCGGCTAAATTACACGTTTGGTCACTCAAATTATACAAATCTTTCACGTTTGCCATCCGAATTACTTTTCTTTCTTATTCGCCACTAACTTTACGAATCGTTTCACGGTTGGTCACCGGCCGTTACACTCCGTTAAGTTTGATCTACGTGGCAGTCAACTATAAAGTTTGACCGTTAACTAGATGACGTGGAAATTAAAAAAAATAAAAATTTATTTCCACCTCATCATTGTACGGAGGAAAACACGTCGTCGAGCTTCCCTGGCGAATTTATTTCCACCTCATCATTATACGGAGGAAAACACGTCGTCGAGCTTCCCTGGCGAAAACAAGCCTTCAAATCTCATAGTGGATAATATAATGACGAATTTCTAATAAGTAATAACCATATATATTTATTTTTAATTAGACTCGACATTGAGCTGGAAAAATTAGTGGTTCCTGGTTAAATTATTAATTCTCTAGACTGTTGGTCGGTCGTGTATGGACCCCTTCATACTTATGATTAGAATATATAAAAATAGTATACTAATTAGGGTTAGACGAAGATAGCAAAGAAAGAAATAAAGAAAGGGTTATCGAAGGCAAGTAAAAAATGAAACGAAGAGGAAGTAGATGATGGAAGACCAATTCTTTTAGTTGGTCGTCAATACAACAATCAGTCATTTGCACCGTAGCATTTTATTGGCACTTGCTTATGTATAGATGTCGCATATTCTGTTACATGTAGTTAGTAGACGTTTGTTTAGTACCCCGCAAATGTACTAAATGAATTTATAAATTTGCTCTTGCAATATTTTAGAGTCGTCTCACTTTTATCATTTATTTAATGTTTCACATAATGAGAAAATATAAAATGGTCGAATCTTCTCCTGCAGTTGAGTGATACAACATCTTGTATGGTACAAACTAAATTTATACTTTTATGTTATCGTGGATTGTATCATAGATTGGTTCAAAAGGACGGGTGGATTGGATTCATCAATTCAAGTGAAATCTAAATATTGGACCAATATGTAAATTTAAAATATTGTAAGTACGAAAATCTCATAAAATTTAGATACCAAAACATAATTGTTCAATCGTTTACATTAAAGTTAAATTTGGAGTATCAAAATGTAAACTGTACATTATAGTGAGTAATTTTTAACTTGTTAGACAGTGACTAATATATAATTTGTTTGGTAACAGTAACCAAACTTCAGGTTTATATATAATAAATGTTGGCATGCATGACCCATAGATTGGGCTAAGATTTTGTCTCCAATTATTGATGAGTACGTACGTACGTAGCATCAATAATAATACCTCTTTCGTGGAAAATGGTGGCCAGGTTGTAGGGGTGGGCAACGGGACGGGACGGGATACCCGTCCCGTTTTAAACGGGTACCCAGTCCCGTTTGGAGACCAAAGTCCATTCCATATCCCAAATTCATATGGGAAACGGGTACCCATTTCCCGTACGGGACGGATAACGGGTACCCATACTACCCATAAATACCCAAAGTTTAAACCACTAAAATTTTAACAAAAGTTTAAACTTAACTTGTATTTGTTTAACAATCACAAGATACAAAATACATCCCAATCACAAATACTCGGTTTGCAAATAACACATTCATGAACAATCACAACACATAGAAATAAATCATTCCAAGCACCAAATTATCAAATAAGAAGTTTCATTCAACACAACCAAATGGGAGGCATGCTGCTACTTTTCTTGTGTTGCTGAATGTAGAAAGTGTCCAAATTTTTAAGTTCATGGGAAGCTAAATCTATAGCAGAGAAGCTGAGTCTCACTGAAAGGGTAAGGGCCCTTGGCCCAAATGGCAAATAGAATTGAAACTGCATGGGTGAGGGCCGAAATGGCCAATGGGTTCTGAATTGGGCTGGGTTGCCTTTGTATTGAATGGGTATAACGGGTACCCATATTACCCAAACGGGTATTCGCGGGTAACCCGCGGGTACCCATATTAGAAATGTACAATCCCAAGTCCCATCCGTTTATAATATTACGGGTAATATGGGTACCCGTAACCCTTAAAAAACGGGACGGGTACGGGTATACCCAAATACCCGTTTCCCGTTGCCCACCCCTACCAGGTTGGACTAATAAGCCCAAAAGGAACTCTTTTTTTTTTAAAAAAAAAGTCCAAAAGTAACTCCATGTGTGGAAACTTGAGGAACAAACAAACAAACAAAGAAGAAAAGAAAGGGAAAGGGAACATGGTGATCAGTAGGAATGGTAATGATGCAGATTTGGGGTGGGTATTTCGATCACATACTTATTCCGTAGGAGGTTGAGTTCAGATTGGATAATTTATTGTGTTGTGTGGGTTGGAACAGGTCGCGATCCAATGAGTATGTAATTTGTATGGAAAACATTAGAAATATTCATTATTTTTATTATAAACCCAGGAAACAAACCATAATATGATATTGAAAAAATTGAGGTTTTCACTAATTTGCAACTTTATTATAGCTAAAATATGATGTAATAAAAGGAAAATCCTAAATAATTTGACAAAGGTTACATGTTATTTAGGTAAAAATGGGTTGAGAATGAGGCGAGCCAGAACAAGTCGGGTTGATGAAAGTATCCATTCCCGCCCCACCTACGGAGCGGACCACACCTGCCTTAAAACAGGTCAAACAAATCGGGTAAAACAAATTAGTTCGAAACTGCCTTCCCTATCCTAGTGCTCTGGCTGGACCGAGACGATTGAGCCCCGAAGGAACGCAATGCGGAGACTTCACAAACAAACAAACAAACAAACAAGAAAAGTCAAGAAATTCGAAGGGAGGAGAATGAAGGTAATATTCATCTCCCCCTTTGCCCGTTATGATAATTATTTATTTATTCACCTATTAAAGGCAATTCTTATTTTTTATTTTTGCAGGATTCGAGAAATTATCCGAACTTGTTCATCTGAAAGTTTTGAACTTAGGTTACAACGAATTTAGTAATACCAGTGTTCTCTCCAAGTTTAAGGAGCTTTCCTCTCTCGAGAATCTATACTTGGGATTTAATAAATGGGAAGGATGTATATACATGAAAGGTAACTACAAACCATTCTTTACTTAAATTAATTATTAGTTCCTTTTCGATCTCTGAACTAAGGATTGAAATATCGTACCGTTCTGGCGGTTCGACGAGCAAAAACCTTCCTAGTGGAGGCTAAATTGGTAGACGGTATTTTGTGGTAATGAAGCGCAACCAAACCACGATTTAAGTATAAAAATACCCTACCGCTGACTTTTCCGTTACAACCTCCATTACGATATTTCAATCCTTACTTTAAAACACGTGTCGATTATAGTATTGTCACTGTCATATTTATCGTATATCATTCATGACATGACAGTAATATGATGACCCATCTTCTTCATTTCAACTCAATTTTAAAAAAATTATATAGAAAGAATGCATTAAGTAAGATCTACATAATGATATTAATTCTGTTATGCTTTATCATGATCTCATACCAATATCATATCACTGTCATATCATGATATTATATCATTATGACAAAAATATGATACCTTCAAATTATTTCGACAAACATAATACATCATATCATATCATATCACTATTATACCACCATTATTTTGACAAACATAACGTCCTCCCAAGCCATTATATGTATATATATCTTATAATTTGAGCTGAGGGACATATATACCCTTCCACTATGTGAATCACTGATGAGTGATGACCAATGGAGTCCACTAAAAAATGCGCGGGCCGGGGGACCGGTTTGGCAACACAGCACAATAGTGGTCAGCCTAAGTCAACTAATTGGCGCACGATCGGTCGTCGGAGACTTGACCGGCCGCCCGGCCGCCTCATCAGTCAGTGTGGGTGCGAGACGACTTGACCGACCTGACCCATATCGTATATGCGGCTAATACAAAGCTCTATATATTTTGAGGCAATTAATTTATGGGAATTATTACAAATCTTCAGATCATATTAAAAATGAGGAGAGCAGTAATCTGAGTAACGATGTACTGCCGTCTTTAAGCGGACTCTCGTCGTTGAACTATCTGTCTCTTCCGTAACAATAGCCTCAAAGGGGTCATTGATATTAATGGTAAGAATTCAGATTAATTATTGTAAGTAGTTAATGAAATTAATCTTCCTGGTGTGTATTATTTTTAGAGTTAATTATCGTTATTCATCTCAATTACGTACAGTCTCGTAATTAATTACTATCAGTTCATCTCAATTAGTATACCTTCGGTTTGACATACAAAGGTCATGAAGGGTTTTCACAAAAAAAATGTTATGAAGATTTGTTGTTTTTCTCTCTAGTAAAATAACATTTGAGTCCTCTGCCTTTTCCTTCACATACTTTTTTGATAAATGTGTACATAAAAAAATTAATAAATACATTTTTTTTAAGTTGTATTCCTAATTTGGTACATCATTAATATTATTGAGGTGTGTTTCAAAATGATGTCGCGATCTTTTTTCTTTCTTTCTACCTTTTGATATGCTACTAGGTCATAGAGAAATCAAGATCATCCTTCCTCTTTTGCTTCTTCCCCTCCCGACTGTTCCTAGCCGCTAGCAGTGGCGTAGCAAGAAATTTATATAAGGTGGGTCAAACATGAAAAATATATATATAAAACGCATGTTGCAGAATGTGTTCATGTTTTGAAAATTTTCTTAAAATATATTCATCAGGCAAATTATGAGGGATGTTAAGATATCACAACAAGGAAAAAAATCGTTCATGATTCCACAACTCATATTATTCTGAAGTGTTTCTTTACTTTGCTAATTGCGTAAGTGCTCTTTCAACACTAATTAGAAGCAGTTCCAGATCAAAATGGAAACTAAAATGAGGAGAGCAGACGATTCTCGTTGCAGCAGCAGGTTCCTAATGGCGCTGGCCTTAGCGGCGGTGACGGTGATGACGGCGGAGTGGCAGAGCTGCGTGGGTAATTGCTTGGAGCAGGAAAGGCTTGCCCTCTTGGATATCCATGCCCTCTATTCACAAAGCAGCGGCGATTGCTGTGGTTGGGATGGAGTTACTTGTAATGACACAACGGGGAGGGTGATTGAGCTTTACTTTAATGGTGCAGAGGATGGAAGCTTAAGAGGAGGAAGGTATCTAAATGCTTCTTTGTTTCTACCTTTCCAACAACTCAGACTACTTTCATTGACATCCTTTCAGTTCTTGGGTTGCATGGAGAATGAAGGTATATATAAATATATATATATATATATATATATGGTGGTGTCTTCGGTGCACTCACTTTTTTTGGTGCATTCAGTGCACCCGCTTCATAACCATCATTATAAACATGTGATTTATGTCAAAATGATGTCAATCATCACTTATGATGTGATGAACAATAACGCACATGAATTTGCACAAAAAACCATTGAGGATTTACTTTAATTTGAAGGATTTAGAGTTTAGAGATTTGGGGTTTAGGGATTGAACTCAAAATTGGAGGTCTAGGGCTTAGGGTAATCCGCTAATTAGTTGTTATCATATGTTATATCATCATATTACACTAATTTTACAAATTAAAATCCAAAATCAGACACTTTAAGCGTAGTTTTTAGTTGGGTGCATTGAACGCACTCATTTTTGTGAGTGCACCGAAGTAGTCACCATATATATACTGAATCGCTAAATGTCGCCCTAAGAATTGCTAAACATCGCCCTAACTAAAATATAAAATTACCTACATGCCCTTAAGCAAAAACTCAAAACAAACAAGCCCTTAAGGCAAATTCAAATTCATTCTCCCTCCCCCTCCCCCCAACTCTCACCTCTGCACTCACTCCCTCCCCCTCAACCGCCGGCCCCCTCAACCGCCGGCGACAACAGCCCGCCGCCCCCTGCCGCCGCCGGCCCGCCGCCCCCGTCGCCTCCCGCCGCCAGCCCGCCGCCCCCGTCGCCTCCAGCCGCCAGCCCCCGTCGCCGCCCGTCGCCGCCTGCCTCGCGGAGAATCGCTCGTCACCAGCCGCCAGTCGCCAGCCGCCCGCCCGTCGCCCGTCCCGTCGCGTCGTGGAGAAGAAGGTAAGAAAAAAAAAAAAATTTGCCCGAACCGCGGTCAACGCGCGGTCCGACCAGCGGCTGACCGCGGTCAAAGGGCGGTTGACCGATGGGTAAACCGCGCTTTGACCGCGGTCAGCCGCTGGTCGGACCGCGCGTTGACCGCGGTTGACCGTCGGTCAAACCGCGCATTGACCGCGGTTCGGTTTTTTTTAATTCTGTTTTTTAAATTCTGTGTTTTATTATTCGTTAAATAAATGTTAATAATAATAAAAAAAATTAAAAATATATACATAATAAAAGAATTTAGTTATATTATTGATAAATACTAATTTAGTTATAATGATAATTAATAATAACGTATTCGATAAATGTTAATTTAGTTATAATATTAATTTAGTTATAATTTAGTTATATAATATAAAAAAATTTAAAATCGTATTCGATAATTGTTAATTGAAGATAACAAATTTAAAGAACATTATGAAAAAATTAAAAATGTGTTTTTATCATTTTAATAATCAAAATTTCTAAGTAATTCGTTTATCTACTTAATTATTAATAATTTGACCTTGATTAAAAAGTAAATAATTATTACATAGAACGTAACATAATGTTAAAACTATTAGTTTTATAATTTTAATTATGAAAATCTTAAATTAATTACTTTATGTACTCCATTATTAATAATTCAAACTTTTTTTTGAAGATGTCTGGACATGGAATGGGTAAACCGGATATGATTAAGGCGAGAAATAAGGAGAGAATGGAGGGTCGTGCTTGTAGACTTACGGCGACTGGTAGGAAGGAAAATGAAGAAAAAAATCCACCTAAGGTTAGAAGGAAGAAGAAGGCGGATGTAGTGCGTCCTGACGGCCACCCTACTGTGGGGCAGTTGTCTCTTAGTCGAGGCACTACCAGTACTCCTACACCAGATACCGCACCGGTATGGCAGGCTAATTGGAGTGATTCCATTGACGAGGATGATGATGATGACGGTGATGCTGAGGTTGGGAATGCCCCAGATGCTGGTGCTGCTTCTGGTGATGCTGCTGGTGATGATGCTGTTGATGGTGCTGGTGATGCTGAGGCTGGGGATGCCCCACCTCAAGCTGATTTAGGCGTGGGGAAGACGGCACGGGTCGGGGTATCTTCTACTGCCTCCTCCCACTTTCGTGGGCCCGATGGACGCTATGCGTCCAGACCTAGTAGCGAGGATGGCGGAGATGGAAATAGGAAGAGGAAGACCACGAGGAAAGATATGTCGTGGTTTCTTACAGCCGAGTCTCCGATGTGTTCAGGTGGACCAGTGATTCCCGATGTGATCCCTAGCTTTGGAGGTCACATTGGCTTGGTACTGTGGAATTCCCCTGAGCAGGACCGTGGAGTGTTGGACGGCTTCCATAGGCCGAGAGCTGTAGAGACTTTGAGGCGATATAAGTGGAGTGCAGAGGGTTCCAAGGAGATGGTTGAAGCCACAGGATTGTCTCACTTGACGGGGTGCATGATGCAGCATTTAGACATGGCTCTACTGTCGGCATTTGTGGAGAGGTGGCAGCCGGACACAAACACCTTCCACATGCCGTTTGGAGAGATTTCGATCCTTCTACACGATGTGCATCACATTCTTCGGATACCGGTTGACGGAGTTGCAGTCGGAAGTCTTGAACTTCTCCTCCCTCGTCTCCTCTCCACATGCTCGAAGTGAGACAGGTTTCGAGTGGTGGACGTCCTTGGGCGACCGGGGCGGGGCTGTCCCCCATGCGGTTCATCAATGCCATCATTTTCAGGATGAAGATGGCTCCGGAGTAGGCCGATTGCACCTCGAATGGTCTCGTCGCCTCTATCAAGAACCTCCTGTACTAGACCTTGGAACACACCACGGTGGTAATCACTATGGTCATCCCACTCCGGCCGAGTAGGAGGTTCACGATAGTTGATAACGGTCCAGAATGGCAACACATCATACAAGGCGAAATCCCGATTTTCACGTCGTGCTAACTGAATGGAACATCTACATGGGAGACCATAGGTAGGAAGAAACGTACATGTACAAGGTTCCCCTTCCACTGCTACCTCGAACAACATCAACTTCAGAGCTTCTAGAGTGACTTTCGTATTCAACTCTCGAAATGGTTTTCCATCCGCTCGGAGCAGCTTCTTTTGTCGGGAATCCTCCAGCAGCTTCCTGATTTGAAGGTGTTGAGCCTCAATGTAATCATCGTTCTTCTTGTAAACCTACAAACAATGAAGAACAATTAGGAAACTACTAAAACTTATGTGTGTATCAATAAAGATTTATTAGATTACTAACCGTGTCGACTGCGCCAGTAGATGATTGAAGCCACTTCTTGAAGGAGGAATGGGCAGCTTCAACCCTATTAGAGCTTGTGTTACCCAAATGCCGCAGTTGATTGGTATAACATTTAGCCCACATGTGTCTAACTGGTAACCACTCAGCTGTCATATACCCCCAAAGACGTCGGTACTGTACTCCCCAACCACGTCTGAAATTCTCTAAGGCAGTATCCATGTCTTCCACTGTCAATGCATATACAGCACGTTGCCAAGACGCCATGATCTGATCCACTGTCGGTTTGGCTGCATCTATACCACAATGAGTCGTCCTTCGCACCTCCGTTAGACACTTTGCTCTCACATTCCTATCCATATGCCAAAGACATAAAATATGAGTCGATGATGGAAACATTGCCCCCACGGTCTCAACCAATCCTCCTGCCTTGTCACTGACAAACACATCTGGAACAATGGGGCCAAGAAGATGTTGCAAATGCGTCAGAAGCCACTGGTACGACTCCTTCGTCTCGTCGTACACTATTGCAGATGCAATGACAAAGTTCAATCCCACTGGTGTCATGCCGACAATCTCAACCCAAGGCATATCATACTTGTTGGTCTTGTATGTTGCATCTATCACGATCACATGGTGCCAAGCTCGCAACATCAATATTGACTCGGGGTGGGCTAGGAACAAGTGTGTAAGCACGTTACGATCGTCCATATACTGCACATAGTAACCCTTCTCCTGCGCCATGCGGAAAGTATACTGTAAGGCTGTCATCTGACCAAGCTCTTCTTTCCTTATCTTGTGACACTCGTTATAAATCTGCTTTCTGTTGTGTGTTCCATTTGCACCTTTTCTGTCATTCACTGCCTTGTGGATATTCCTTGGTGGGACACCGGCTGATCTCAGCTCTCTGATGTATTGCTTGTCCTCTGTAGTCAAAACATTCCTTCCCTTTGATCCCTCCGGAAATAGCTCCAACTGATGATTGTGGAAACCCAAATTAGCACCAGGATTCTTTGTATTTGCCACCCCTAGGATCAACCAATATCCATCACCTGACCGCTCAAGCTTGATCTTAAACTCGCACCCCAACTTTTCAGTAGATGTAAGAGGCCTCGTTTCCTTACTCGGATCAGGTTCCTTCGACTTCTTCTTCCTACCATGAGTGCAATGTAAGTAATGTCGCCAAGTACCTTCATTCGTATTTTTTTTGTTCGATGCCCTCACCAAATAAAACCCAAAACCCTTTGCAATCTCAATGGCTGCTTCATATGCTTGCAACTCCGTAGTGTATTTCACGCCATCAATGAAATCCGAGGTGTAATCATGGCCATCCGGATTGTAACTTCCAATATCCTGCAATGTTATCAGTATTAAAATTAATAATCATCATAACTTCATATGCGAATCTATTATTTATGCAATAAATTTAATCTTAATTTGTAATGCAAAATCTAATCTTAATTTTCTAGATTAACACCAAATTAAATCTAATCTTAATTTAAGGCCAAATCTAATCTTAATTTCTAATGCTAAATCCTTCAATTCCAAAAATCTAATCAAAACCCAATAAATCTAATAAATTATATTAATCTTAATTTGTAATGCAAAATCTAATCTTAATTTTCTAGATTAACACCAAATTAAATCTAATCTTAATTTAAGGCCAAATCTAATCTTAATTTCTAATGCTAAATCCTTCAATTCCAAAAATCTAATCTTAATTTCTAATGCTAAATCCTTCAATTCCAAAAATAATTATGCAAATAAATCTAATAAATTATATAAATCAAAACCCAACAAATTATTTCATGGAACAATCATAAATCATATAAAAAAAAATTATTCAACGAAAAAAAAAAACCAAAAAATGCCCAACCGCAAGTGACCTGCGGTTTGACCATGGTCGGACCGCAAATCACCCGCGGTTCCCATTTTCTGTGTTTTTTTTTTTTTTTTGGTTCATGTTCTTACCTCGTCGGAGTCGCTACTCATGATTCAGACGTCCTATCGACGATATCGGCTTCAAAATGACGATGAGAGATTTTTCTCTCCTTAGAGAGTGTTTTTTTAGTCCAAGTGATGTTTGTTTGAGGAAGGGAAGGTAAAGAAGCTATGGGGGTTAAAAGTGTAACTTTTATTCTTTTTAGGGCGACCTTTAGCAATTTTAAGGGCGACCTTTAGCAACTCCCTATATATATGTCCGTTCACTTTCTAAATTTCTCTGACTGATCGATCATGTTACAGGCTAAGGGAATTTTGTTATGTTTTTTCCATCTATTTTGCAGGATTTGAGAAATTGTCGAAACTTGCGAATCTAAAAGTTTTGGAATTATATGTCAACGAATTCAGCAATGATATACTCCCATCTTTAGGCAAGCTTTCACAGCTGGAAGGACTGGATCTTGAAGACAATAGGCTAAAAGGAATGGTTGACGTTGATGGTAATTAATTAGAATGCTAATCCTAATTAATTTAACTATTTTTTTTTTTTTGTTTGGTTTGTATAATGAACTTTCCTAGCTTATAATGTCTAATTCTTTCCTGGGGGAAAAAATGTTTTTCATTGCAAGTCTTGTTCAATCACTTTGTTGGATGTTCAGAACTAAACCAACTTAGTGGCTTGAGGCGGCTGAGTTTGCAGGACAATAACATCCAAGGATTCGTGTCATATCACGGTGTGTACTGTTTCTTGAGCTAATTAGCATGATTCATCAATTTCTAATTATAGGTGCGTACTTAACTTCAAATATATGTTTAATGATATAACATGTGCAGGTGATGGAAATTTGTTGATATTGCCGCACCTGGAATCGCTGGAACTATCTTATAACAATTTCAGAAATGATATATTGTCATATCTAAGCAGACTTTCATCTCTAGAGAGTTTGTATCTTGATGGTAATAAACTAAACGGAACGGTTGACATTGATGGTAAGAACTACGAATACATTATTCTTCTAATAATTTGAATTATAAACTTTTTGAAAATGCAAGCTTTTCTAGCTTATATATAGTTTCGGGGACCTCCTACCATGCCTTGAAGTTACTATAACTTGACGTTTTTGAGCTGATATAGCAGGTTTTATAGGTCGCGTTACGTAAAACTCATGTTTATTACGTAACAATTACGTAATGCTTGTTAGTCTTACGTAACAGTTAAACTAGAAGCGTTACGGAAGGTTTCCGTAACGACTTATCATTTTACGTAACGCTAGGTTAATATTGATTACGTAAAAGCATCGTCTATTACATAAGGGCTTCCGTAATGACATTTTACAACTGTTACATAAAATACACGCTCATTACGTAAAGGTTACGTAACGAAGGTTATTTCTTACGTAACAGTTAAATTAGAAGTGTTACGTAAGACTTCCGTAATGACTTACCACATTACGTAACTTGATTAATATCATTACGTAAAAGGACCATCCATTACGTAAGGCTTCCGTAATGCCACTTTACAACTGTTACGTAAAGTATGCATCTATTACGTAAAGGTTATGTAACGATAGTTATTTCTTACGTAACAGTTAAAATAGAAGTGTTACGTAAGCCTTCGGTAATGATTCAATAGATTACGTAACGAAAGGTTAATATTCATTACGTAAAATGAGTCTCTATTACGTAAAGTTTCCGTAATGACATTTTTCAACTATTACGTAAGATAAACACACATTACGTAGCCATTACGTAATGCCTATTATATTTTACATAATGCGACTTGTGAAACCTCTTATAGCAGGTCAAAAACCTCAAGTTACCATAACTTCAAGGTATTGTAGGAATTTCCATAGTTTCGTCTTTCCGGATCAACGAGGAAGTTCTCGTCAATAAAATGTGTTGGTGTAATTTGTTGCAACAGAATTAAATAAACTTGGTGGCTTGAAGGAGCTGTATTTGGGGGACAATGATATTCAAGGATTCGCATCCTTTCACGGTATGTACTGTTTGTTTCCGTAGTTAATTACTTACTAGCTAGCTCATGTAATGTTAATGAAAGCTTGGATTTTGGGCAAATGTGCAGGTAATGAAACTTTGCTGAGATTGCCGCACCTGGAATCCTTGGATCTATCTAATAATATCATTAGCAGCGCCGTCATGATTTTATCGGCATTCAAGCAGCTTTACTCCCTCCAGATTCTATCACTGGGTTATAACAATTTACTGGAGGGATCAGTGGACATGAAAGGTTATAATTAACACACATTATTAATCAACTAATTACCTTGTCGGTTTCCAATCATTTATTTAATCACACCATTTGTTTTGTTTGGTGTTGCGTGCTAAAGAGTTGGCGGCTCTCACCAAACTACAAGAGCTGGAGTTAAGTGGGAATCTTGTAGTGGAAGGTGTGTATCAACTCTACTAAATTGAGAGAAAACAAATAATTAATTCTTGTAATAATAATTAAGGACTGATTTTTCTTTTCTTTTCTTTACTTTTCTTTCTTTTCTCTGTTGTTTGGATTCAAAGACTTGGCCGCTTTAATAAACTTAGGGGTTGTTTGCTTCATAGATTTAAAAATGAGGGTTTTGTAATTTAAAAACCCAAGGATTTATCAAGGATTTGAGGCATCATGGATTTGTAAGAATCCTTTGTTTGTTGGGATGTTTTTATCATGGATTTAAAGGTGTGTGATTTACTACTTGAAGTCAAAAATTACATTACTGCCCTTTTTATATGTTTGACATGTTTATGATATGTACACAAAACAAGGACAAAACTTCAAAATGACCTTACTATCATTTTCTATATGTTTGACATGTTTATGATATGTACACAAAACAAGGACAATACATACTAATAAGCATAATGTTGCCACATGGACAATAATAATAAACGAGAAAATTCCGTTTTAACTTTTAACGTAACATAATCAATTACTAATTCTTTGTCCTTCTTTTCAAAAGTGACATATAACAACATATATTAGAATCGGGAGAACAAAGAATTACACGTTCCATGAAAATGTCAAAGAAAACTAGAACACAAGAAATGATATAAAAAATCTAACTCATGTTTGCACATTAATTGAACGTTGATATTATTCATTTATTGTTAATTATAATGTATAATAGTTAAATTTGAGGGCAACCTTGGAATATTAAAAGTGAATGAGGGTATATGGGTAAAATCTCATCAAGGATTTATGCTATATTCCAAATCCCACATCAACATGTGGGATTTATAAGTCCGTGGGGTCCACGGATTTGGACCCTTAAAATCCGTGGGCCCCACGGATTTGGTCTCCAAAAAAGGTGCAAGCAAACAACGGATTGTACCTAAATCCTTGATAGTTGGTTTTTTGGTATCAAATCCATGTACCAAATCCGTGAAGCAAACGACCCCTTAGAGTCGCTTCAACTAGGCGACTCTACTCCTCTTGCCCAGGATTGGAAAAGCCGGTTTGACTTTCAAGGTATGTATTTTCTCGGTAAATACAACCTGATTTATTTATTTACAGCCTGTTTGGAAAGGCTAAATTTTGAGGAAATGGAATTCCAATTCCCAAACTTTCCATGATTCTCATGTTTGGAAGTAAAAAGTAAAAAGGAAATGGAATTCCAAAAGGCAAAAAGTTGGAAATTCTAATTCCTACCAAAAGTGGTTGGAATTGGTGGAGGGAGTGATGGAATTAGTGGACCCCACATTAATTTTGACTCACCTTTACAAAAAAGCCCTTACTACTTTTGGATTTGAAATCACTAATACCAAGGATATTATTGTAAAAGCACTTGTAAGAAATCATTTCCATTTTTTCCAAACATAAAAACATGAAATCATTTCCCAAACTTTTGGATTTGTTCCAAACATAAAATTTTAAAATGAATTCTCACTTGAATTCAGATTCTCACAAGAAATGGAATTCATTTTCCAGCAGAATTATATCCAAACAAGCTGTTATAGAAATTATTACTTATATTTTCATGATTGTATTTATTAATGGATGGATGAATTCGCATCTATTTTATACCAACTAGCATTGGGCCCGGCCCGTTGGCCGGGATTAGCAAATGTTGTGATAACATTCTATACAAACGACATAAAATGAAGACTATTTGATGACCCCTAGAAGGAAGCAACATTTTGGCTACATCATTAACATAATCAACCAAGATGTTCCTGCTACAATCACACATAAGCATACGGTTGGTGTCATCCATAGAACTCAAACACAGGTTGTGTAGCCAAAATCTCCAAAGTTAAATTCAGCTAAAGCACAAATAACCATTTTAATTAGATCACAGTTTCCCTCCACAATTTTGCACGTTTAATTCACCTGCTTGTTGTATTTGTACATGCTGGGGGGAGAGACCCACAACCAGTGTTGTAATCCCTTGACAGCTTCTTCGTTTCCATGAGAGCTTTGAGCTGACAGAGGAAAATATAATTTTAGATGATGATCAGCCTCCCTTGTGTGGCAAGTGGGGGCAAAGCCGCAAAGGTCGACACTCTGAAGACGGAATACAATAGTTTGTCTCCTTTAACCGATAACTGGGGTTTGGAATTTCAACCTAGGTTTCCTGCAAAAGCCATAAAGAATTTTGGTATCACAATTGGAGAATAATAGCCCCATTTGGCATTCTAGTGGACCCACCATTCCCCATCAACATGTCAGCTCCTCCTTTTGCATGCCCCCTAATTCCTCCTTCCACCGCTTCCCCTGCTTCCTCCGCTTTAAATTCCACTCTTCGCTATTATTGTTGTGTTTGGATTGCTTATTTTGCTTTTGATGGGTTTGATGCCCAAAATGAATCTTGCTTATGTGCATGCAGGGAACAGATATATAAGTATGGGATGAATCACACAGAATATTCAGCTATGGATTAGCCTCCTTCTTGAGAAACTGGGGGAAAATGTGGACGCATATGAATAGGTTTAGGATGGTCCATACCTTTGGCCTTTGAGAGCAAATCAGCAAAAACAAAGTCGGTTTTTGAAGGCACAGAGCGAGATAGAGAAGGATTGTTTCCTCGACGGTTGGATTTGGGAGGGAGTTCCGAGGACATATGTCGGGAGGCACTGAGCTGGGGCTTGGGGGAATAAAAACATACTGAAAGATAAATAAGACCAATAAGTTGTTGTTGCGTGAATAAAAACATACTGAAACTGCTTATAATTGAAAAGCAAACCACATCAAGCATAACATCTTTCTTTGGAATAAACGACATGGTAAGATACTGTTTGAATAAACATAACCTGAAACTCCAAAGATAAACAAACCAAAGCAAGCTGAAAGTGCATTCTTTTGGATTAGCCACATAAATTGCAGGAATAAGTTGTTTTTGAATTAGCACAACATGAAAGTCCTATTATAAGCAGAATACAAAAGTTGAACCTAGTTACCAACATGCCAAGCAAACCACGCACTAACAATCCAACATCCCACGTATGAGAAACAAACTACCAAATACAATGTTCCTAACCTGAACCTTACCATCAAACAAATCATTCTAGTACTACGCAATGTCCGAGACAACAACATGGATTCTTTTTCTGCTTCTTCAAGGTACTCCCTCTTAGACCTCCAGAACTTGGATAAGTGTCGTAGCTTTCCTCTAAGTTTGGTTCATCTTGTGAGTTGTTGACACTGGTACAAATATCTCCCTTATCAGTGGCATCAACCTTGAATCATGGTACCTAGGTATCACTGCAAAAGTTTGAAGCTCTGCCTTTAGTTTGTTGTCCATTACTGTGATTGTTTGACTACAGTAAAGTAATGCATAATTATAATCATCCGTAAAACTGTTATCATGTAATAACCACTAACAAATCATATAAGTTAAGATGTAATACCCAACATATCCTTAAATACAACAACTAATTGCTAAAAGATGTGACAGTAGTAAAGAAATGTTGATGCAATCATAACAAAAACAATTTCAGCAATTTGATCAAGCTACTCTTTTAGCAACTTTGACAACATAATGATCAACTACTTTGATGTTCAATTCGAGTATATATAATGGAAATCTCATCTTTTAGAGAGTGAATATTGAAGCATGATTAACGGGACAATAGATAGAGAAATTGAAGTTGTTGTAAGCCTTTGTTTCTTTGCATTTTGAAGCGCAAGACAGAGGAATTGCAGTGGAAGGTTTTAAGAAACAGAATAATGAACTCTTTCTAAGTAAATAGCAGGTATAGCCTTGGAATATTAATTATTATAACAAAAGCCCACCACAAAGGTTACAGATAATTTGCAGCACTCGCCACCCACATTTGGCCTTGTATCAATAACACCACGTATCCAATCTACCACTACTCTCAGAAATATCAAATTCAATTGATCTAACCCCTAAGCTCGATAACAATGATCGTCACACACCATTAATTTCAGAACGTTCGAAGGAAGTTAGGAATAACCTTATTGCCGCATTGTGATGAGTCTTGCCGGAAGCCTGAGGCGCGGGAATTAGAAGGGGGTGGTGGCGAGGTTTTGGGTTTGTAGACAATGGCGCTTGGGGGGGGGGGACTTAACTGGCGGAGCCTGGGGTTTGCACGACAATTAAGCCATGGAGTAGTGAGATGGAGCAAAAAGGGAGGGGAAAGAGAGTGATCGCAGTTCAAGCCTCTTTGTTCTTCCCAATCAGACCTCCAACCCATAGATTTTTTATAGACCGCAACTCCCTTTGAAACGAAGATACAAACTTGCGAATCAAATTACAAAAGGAGAGGGACTAAATTTCCAGATGGAATCCATGAGAAATAGTATAGAAGAAGAAAGAAAGTTTGAACATTCGAAACACACCTTCTGTTAGGCCGAGAGCATATTGAAGTGAACGCTGTCGAGGACAACGCTTGGGGGTATTCCGGGATCAGATTGCGCATTGCGGCAAGGATGGCGGTCAGGCGTGGGCTTTCCGGGAGGCTTGGGAGACAGACGGTCAAATAGCGAGAAGGGGTATGAGCGAGAGCGACGACATCGGGCATTTTAATTTTTTTGCTCGCCGGCGAGGGTTGAAATATCGCTTTCGAGGGCAGCGCTAACCGCTAAGGATGGCGGGAGCTGTGGTTGGCGGGTGGCGGAGTTCAATTTTTTTAGGGGAGTTAAAGGATTAAGGAACTGGCTATCGATTCGTCCTAGAGAGAGACGGCGAGAGAAATAGCGAGCGACGACGGGAAAGGGAAGGGCGGGGGCAACGCCGGCCATTTCTGCGCTTTTGAGAGGCAATGAGGTAGAGGATGGGTCGGATTTTCTGGGATGGTTGAGCTAGAGAGATAGCGAGAAAGAGAGGAATTGAGAATGACTGAAAAGCCCATCCGCACTGTGCGGGTTGATCATGAGGGGCTGACGTGGCAAAGGCTCTATTTTGACATTGCCTTATAGTATTTTGTAGATGACTGTATGCAATAAACAATAACTATCAACTGAAGCAAACAAAAAAAATTTATAGAGGTAAGATTTGAATCCTGTAAATAGTACTTAAAAAAATTGTACCATCCTTATATAAAAAGATTTCTATAGTTGCAAACTATTTAGCAAAAATCTGTAGTTTATACCCTACAAAAGTTTATAGCTTTTTACTGTACTTTGTTGTACTATGTTGAAATTGCTTCACTATAGAAAGTTAATTTAATTTGGGAAGAGGGAAATAGAGGCAACATTGACAACCATAAAATGAAGGGCAATTACAATGGTAACATATTAGTAATTCCTACTTAAACTGAGAACCCACCATTTTATAAACCCCTGCTTCACCGTCAACAATTTGAATACAATTCTTTTTTATGGCCCGACAAATCCTAAGCAGATTAGAAGTTAATTAAACAAATGCAATGTATCTATAAAAATTAAAAAAAAAAAATCAATGTAATCCTAAGAAAGAAAAAACAAATATTGCCATGAAATTAAACTTTTAAAACATTAAAGCGGACGCAAGTCCATCTACTTTGCTTACAGGAGCAGGAAGAGCACAAAAATAGTGGTGGGATATGCATTCCCGCCGAATGGATGGAATATCAGTTTGAGCGACAAACTAACAAATAAAAAACGAAAATAAAAACTAACAATTGAAAATGGGAATTTACTAAAGAGACCTCCCGATAGGCACGGGTTAGCGAGCAGAGGCTTACGTGTCAGACTCCTTTTTCTGACATTGCCTTATAGGTATTGGTAGATTTCTATTAATTATCTTACACTTATTATATAATATTAGGATCCTCAAAGCTGGAGAAATTGAAAACACTGAAGATACGAAACTCTATCATAGAAGCCAACTTCTTTAGAAGTATTGGGACTTTGATGACCAATCTTACGTATTTGGAGATTTCCGATAGCCCGTCTCTCGTCAATTCCACGATTCCACAAGGTATGTAGTTGATTTATATTGGGACCGTGACTTTTTTCGTTATCTTACAACCATGTGTTTTAAGCTTATATATTAAGTATTGTTCGTCTTAATTATATTTATTTATTATCCCTAATTTGTTTACTAAGACTTATGCATTTCCTCTCTCGTCTAACAAGCATTTGTTGTCATGTTTTCTCCTAGGTTTGTGTAACTTAAACCATCTCCAACAAATAGATCTCTCGGGGAATGGTTTGGTCGGCGAGTTGCCACAATGCTTATCAAAGTTGACGTCACTTCTAATCCTGGATATCTCCAACAATCAGTTATCAGGGAATATATTTCGATCTCCCCTTACCACCATATTCTCCCTTGAAACCATAGATATTTCCCAAAACCGTTTCCAGATCTCATTCTCCCTCTCCCCATTTTTCAACCATTCTCGTCTTAAAATTTTTTATGGGAGTTCCAACCAAGAGATCTATGAAGATGAACATCGTGACGATGTAAGACAACAAGGTACTTTCCTACTACACCAACCACTTTTCCAGCTCACGGACTTGAAATTGGGTTCTAGCCAACGCAATGACAACATTGATGGAGTATTTCCTAAATTTTTATACCATCAACATGATTTGGTACAAGTTGATATCTCAAATATCAAATTGAAGGGAGCTGGATTCCCATCGTGGTTGTTAATTAACAACACCAACTTACGTGGTCTCACCCTCCTCAACTGTTCACTTTCGGGATCTTTTCCATTGCCAGTTCAGAATTGGCCTACATTATATTTTTTGGATGCTAGCAACAATGATCTTTCTGGTAAAATTCCAAGATGGATTTGGAATCTTCCCGAGCTCCTAATTTTAGATCTTTCAAAGAACAATTTGTCTGGAAGTCTACCATCGGGTTTCATTACTTCACGGATGATAGAAGTTTATTTATCAAGAAATCAACTCGAAGGAACTATAACCAAGGGAGATCATTGGAATTTAAGTTCTCATAATGAGTATCCAAGCTACTCTTTGTCTGTTTTGGATCTTAGCCACAATCATCTCTCGGGTACCATCCCCAAATGGATTTCTATACTTCCTAGATTGAGCTATCTATTATTGAACAACAACGAGTTCTATGGTGAAATCCCTATACCTTTTACCTTGGAACAAGTGAAGCTGATTGTTATTTCTCACAATCATTTTTCTGGTCAGCTTTCCTCGGTGCTCACATCCATTATAAGCACGGTATCTTACAATGGATACATCACAAAAGATTTGGAATTGGTTACCAAGACAAATTTGTATACTTACAAAGGGAAGCCTCTCAATTCGTTGTCTGGCTTTGATTTCTCAAACAACAACTTCAGTAGTGAGATCCCTCCTCAAATCAGTTATAAGGATGGCATGCAATTTCTCAACTTGTCGAACAACAAGCTGAAAGGATCAATTCCGTCGTCATTTTCAAGGCTGTTGCAAATTGAGAGTTTGGATCTCTCACAAAACAATTTGAGTGGAACAATTCCTTCTGAACTCTCTTCTCTGACTTTTCTAGGATCTTTTAGTGTGGCATACAATAATCTATCTGGCAAGTGCCCTCAGGTTGCACAGTTTGCTACATTCAACAATAGTAGCTATCAGGGGAATCCTTATCTCTGTTGCACCTCTCCGCTACCACCTTCTGGACCATCATTGATGCCACCAGCTTCTCACGATGGAGATAGAGATGATGATGATGGAGGAAGCTTCATTGACATGGAAAGTTTCTACGCAAGCAGTGGAGTGTCCTTCGTTATGGTGCTGCTCACAATTGCGAGTGTTCTCTACATAAATCCATATTGGCGAAGAGTATGGTTTTACTACGTCAGGATCACCATCACTAGTTGCTACTATTTTGTGGTGGATCATCTCCCGGTGCCGGTCAAGTACAAGGTGTTGGAACTTCGGGTGTAGAAATTGATGTGCCACAACTGCTTGGAGGATGCCAGCTGGAGTTGTATTCTTCTTCCTTTATCGCGATATTTTTGTAATATATAGTTTGGGTGCCTTATACACTATCACATATGTACTACATAGTGACCTTGAATGAGATTAAAAATAAGGCCAATACTGCTGTGCCGCTGTAAAAAGTGCGGCACCGGTGCCACAGTTTCTTATTGGTCCACATAAGGAATGACATGGCACTGGTTGAATGTATTAGAATCAGATCAAACTCGATGACCATGAACCAACCGAAATTGCTATTGGCCAAAGAGAATCAATTATTCAAGAACAAAATAACAGAAGAATAAACCAAATCTCAGAGTTGTCTTCCTCCCTTTCCCGCTCCGGTGGACTGTGAAAACAACAAACAGTTTCAGCTCTTTGCCGCCGACTCACTCTCTAGTCCCCTCCAAATGTCTCCAATAAACGACGGCACTGTATTCCTTCTTAATTCTGTAAAACCAATTCGACCAATACCTCTTACAGTTACCTGACGTCTGACTCCTTCAAACTGCTCTCTCCTGCCATCGTTGCAGACCATCCGATGACAAAGAAAAAGGCAATCGCCCTCCCTCTGCGTTATTCCCCTCGCTCTTCCCCCTCACTGTTGGAATGGTGGAAAACGAATATGAAGCTCCTTGGAGGTGCGTATCGACTCTCCCAACAACTGCAAATAGTTCCAGGTAAATTGATTCGTTGTATGTTGAGCAAATAGGAAAATGATTTGGGTCGTTTTGCTCCTTCATTGTTTGTAGTTCCCTTTTCCTCTAAAGTTTTAAGTTAGGGATGCTACAATGAGAGTCTTGTTTTCTTCGTTGTTGCATCGTCCTTTCTCTCTCTGTGTTAATCGAGCATCATGCGATTTGTTGCTCTGTCCATGCTCTGCTTCTTTTTATTCCTTTTATCTTTTATATTTTATGCTTTTCTTTCTTCTGTTTACTATAGCAAGGCTGTATTTGCAGTGGCTTGCTGCTAGTTGCAATGTGGTGGGTATGTTGCTTGGGTGGGCAGATTTTGGGTGGTTTGTTGAGTCCTACTTATTGATTTAATTACTGGATAGAGAGAGAAGTTTTAGAACTGAATGAAATTGGCAAACTCTTCCCTTGTGCTTGGTTGCATACTGTCAAGAGAAGAATGAAACTGAAGAGGAATTAGGCCCAACATTCTTCCACAGTGGCTTCGACCACATCTGGGAACAAGTTTCCGTCAGTTGGACCGCGGAAGAAGAAAAGATATTCAAGGATATGGTCAGACGTAACTGTCCATGTCAAGAGTCCAAAGATATGTTCAGTGAGTCAGCAGTTTGGAGATGCATACAGTTTTGACGGATTCAGATGGTAGCATATGGTACAATGGTGTTCATGTACGGCTGAGACTAGGACGAAGAGAAGTGTTTAGGAATTTATTTTTACTCCCTAACATAGAAACTTTTTTTGGCCTCCAACGGTCTACGTGGATAGTTTTTTTGTTCCTGTTGTTTCCCCTCAACTGTGGATTCTCCTGCAAAGTTAAGAACCCTGTTGTATCTGTTGCTGTTGAAAAAGGAAAAAAAGGATCAGAATAGAGACAATCTAACATCACTACTACATAACAACAAGCCAATTTTCTTATTTCAATCACTTGGAGAAGAGCATAGTTGGAATCTAACACCACTACTACAGTGAATCATAACATGAACTACAAAGGCTGCATATCGTAACAGAGTACCACTACTCGACAGAACATCTAGAACCTAAAATAGGACAGCAGAGATCAATCGACATGGAGGAGGAGTGCTGCTGCTGCTCTCAAGCGGGAAAGGCACCACGTGTTGTGGTGGCAGCTCAGTAGTCACATTCACCTCGATCTTCATACCCTGCATCACACAGTAGTTCTCGTCGCTGCAGATGAACTAGTAAGGCCTTACTGTATGAGTTTGAAAACGTCAGGCACCCTCTTGTCATGTTCATGAGGAACCCTCTCTGGTAGCCAGTCTTGTTCACGTCCAGCACGTCGTACAAAGTATTGTTGGACCCGAAATCTACATGCTTTGCAAGGCCATCTCATTAAAATATCAGTACAACGTAAGTAGTTTGATCATCTTCCCACGCAAGTATTGTGTTTGAAATGAATGGTAGAGTTTGTTTACCTTCTGTGGGTTCTATGAATCTTTGATCATAAAAATTGGACACATGGAAGCAAAGGAATGATTTTAATGCCTTTATTTCCCCCCGTTCATTTGGGTTGCCTCTTAGGAAGGAAATGAATCAAATTTTCAGGACGTGAAAGTCTTACTTTGGATAAATATATGCAGCAGTTATGTATTACTTAATCCTGGAAGAACAAGCCTTTCACCTGCAGGGATAACCAATGACTAAAGTTCTTATCTAGCTGCAATATGATGCTCTTTTTTCTTTCTCCTGATCTTATGAGGATCACTTTTCTTTTACTGGTGCTATTCTCAGACTTCTGAATATGAAAGCAAAAGAACAAAGTTGAAAACTTCTGAAAAGGCCAGAGATCAACCCTCATAAAAAACTTAAACGAAAACATGTATCATTGTCAAGAGCAAATTCTTGCCCCACTGTAACCCAGAAGCAAAGGAGAACCGTAAACATTAATTGAACTCTACTATTATGATCGATCTAGAGATTGCGAATTCGTTAAACCCTAACGTGATAACAAAGAAAGAGTGGCTTGGGAAGGATCGATGAGGTCTACCAACCTCGCTGGTTATGTCGGGCGCGAGAAGTACCTTTGCTGTTGATTACCGATCAGGTGTTCCGGATTCCTGCTGCAGCTTGACTCATAATTGGTCATTCAAGGCTTACGACAAGCCTTGAATTCTGAGTTTTGAATTCGAAGCGTGAAAGTGCAAGTGTTGAGGAGGAAGACGATGAATGTGATACGTGGAGGCGTACGGTGGACAATGAAGAATGGATCAGTGACGAAGAAGTTCGGCGAAATTGATGCTGACACAGTCGGTGGCTCGGTGCAGGAGAGCTAGGAAGACGACGGGTTGCTCGCAATCTGGTTTTATTTTTTCCTTTTCTTATTACGGAATCGAAAGGGCACTCCGTTAATTGGGTGGTTGGCCGTTCCGGGTTGATTCAGGAGCACCGAGTTTAGACCGTGTGGTTTAATAAACTCAGCCAGTGCCATGTCACAAGTCACGTGGACCAATCAAAAGAAGCGGCACCGGTGCCGCACTTTTTACAGCGACACCGTAGTATTGGCCTTTTTTCTAAGCAGTTGGGCTTGGTTGACAAGGCCCATCTAAACAATAGTTGGATCCAGGCCACCTAGCTTCCCGAGATCTGAGCTCGACAAAATATGTTTGTTGCTAATTGCAATGGGTACTATCTATAATCCGTTGTTCTAGGAATCGGACCTGCCGGACCAACCGGTTCATTCATCGAAATGACGTAATTGCAGGTTCGACCGGACCGGTTATATATTATCCGGGCAGGAAAGGAAAGTCGAAGGCAAAGGAGGGAAATCAATCCCTAATTGATTCATTCGTTCTTCATCGGCGAAAGCAACACAGAGCCGCCGCCTCGATCGCTCTTAACCTCCTCCAGTCTCCGGCGACCCGTCTGCTCCGCCATCCATCGGCCGCTTCCTCCTCTCTTCTCCGTAATCTCATGGTCTGCCAGCCGGAAGAGATCTTCTGTCGATTCTGAGCCTTTCTAGCTGCGAGACACCTGCGGCGACGGCGGTAAATTGCGAAACTGCAAGAGAACCTTAACCGGAGGCGATCAGCTCTATCCACGTCGTTATCCTCATCGCTGAGCGAAGAAATATCTACGGAGAAGCCTCTGTTAAAACTTGCAACCCTTTGTTCTTACTATTCAGGTAGATAATTGCTTCTCTGGTTTCCCATTTCATTTTATCCTGTTATCCCCCCAAATGTTATTATAGAGGAATTGCAAGCGTCTATTGAAATTTTAGCATTCCAGAAATCATTAGAATTGCTAGAGAATAGAGGAATTACAAGCCTCTATTGAAATTTTAGCATTCCAGAAATGATTCGAATTGCTAGAGAATATAAGATAAACAGAGAAGGTGATTAACTTTGCTTACATAAGTTATTGCTACGATGTTGCAGGTCTCTGAAATATTGATCTTAGCTGGTATCTTATTGGGATCGTTGATTCCTCATAGACGATGGTACGTGTGCTTTGATTTCATATTGAATTTATAGATGTTGCGTCCGAACTAGATGATGGGTATGATTTGTTTCATGAGCCTTGTTCAACGGATGACATGATGAGTGGAGTTGCTCCTAGCCCTAGTTTGGAGATCCAGTTATTGATAGACCTAAGATATTTGTCAGCACCTCGTTAAGTATATTTCAAGTTCTCTCAAAATGTGAAGCCTGAAGGGCCAAGTTGCAGGGTCTGATTTCCAGCTAGATATGGGGCTTGTGGCTTGACTTTTGATTGCATAATTATAGTTTGATTAAGTACTTTCATCAGTTTCTGAGGCACTGTGTCAATACTTCTCTTGACTTTTCTAATAACTAATCGTGTCCATGCAGTAACTTATCAATAGAACTACTCGTTAGTTGTTACCCTCATGTTGCCTTCCTCTTGAAACACTTAATGAAACAAGTGTGAAATTGGGGGACTACCAAAATCCAAACTGTGGACTCTTCGTCCCTGCATGAGGGCCATTAGACCTATTGACACCCTGTAGAAAACTGGGCTTGTATAATATTTTTGGACAAATAGTAGAGTGAGTATAATTTTGTCAGATAAGCTAACTTTCATCTGATTACTTGAGCGCCAACTTCCTTGATATTAAGGGAAGTGGATAGCGTATTTGTTGTTAGTGGCTGTGTGCTTTCAAGTAACCGATTTAGTTTGGGCTAGCTATTATATAAACGTCATGCTTTCTTGTCTTCATGCTCATGCATTTCAGACTTGGTGTTTAGACCCTTTCTTGTTTATGTAGCTCTAGTTTGAAGTTCCTGTTATCACACATTTGTAAATAGAGTTTTGGAGTTCTGATTCGTTAGGGCTGATTGTTCTTTGCTTTTTGTGCCTTTCGTAGCCTTGAGGATTTATTAATGGTGAAGTAATTCGTATGTGTGTGGACCTACTTACAGAAATATAATTTTGTCTCTGATGCATTGCTATTTATCTTTTGATTTCAGGCTGGCAGAATAATTGCAAATCTGATTGTTGTGGGTTCAGGAGTGTTGGTGAGGGCATTTGCTCAGGCTTATCGTCAAGCGCTTCAAAGTATGCTTATTTTCTTTTATTTTCCCATACCTTTTTGTGGCTCGGTTTAAGTTACTGACATTTGTGATCGACAACAGATGCTTCAAAGAATGGTGTTGCACGTGAAGCAGTGGAGAACATGAAGAAAGTGGGCAAGACGATGAGCGAGTCAGAGGCCAGGCAGATTCTCGGAGTCTCTGAAAATGCATCATGGGAGGAGATTCTGAAGGTATGAAACCAAGATCACTACTACTTTTCATAGAAATGTGAGAATCATGATCGGTGGACTAAATCAGACGATGGTAATTATTGCGTGCAGAAATATGATTCATTGTTTGAGAACAATGCTAAGAATGGCAGCTTCTACCTGCAATCGAAGGTGTTCAGAGCTAAAGAATGCCTTGAAAGTGCAGTCAAGAAGGATGGTGAGTAAATTTGAGCTGATGAAAAAGTTTCACACTCTTCATCTCGCCTCCCAACCTGCAGGTGCACATATACTTAGAATGACGCATTAGCAATAGCTCAGAAGTGTTAACTGTGATGTGTATCGAATGTCGAGAATCGTCCAATCCCATGACCATGGTTTGTGATAGTCTACCGCATAGGCTGGTTTTATCTGTTAAACCAAACTGATGACTGAGTCAGTATGGGTTTGTTACAGTTTGTACTTTGTACCGATTTTTTGCTGTCATATACCTTGAACTGTTAGCCTCATAGTTTGGGGTTTGAGAGAATAATAAAGAAGGGGAGTGGGAGTTCGCAATGTGGACTTTCCGCCCCCTTTTTCAAGTGATGGGTCTCTTGGATTGGATCTCCTTTTGTTCCGTGGGCTTGGATTAAAATGATCTCAGACTCTCTGGTGGATTTGGATCCATTTCTGTAATCCTTGAATTCTCTTACCACGTTCCCTAGTTGTTGAGTAGTACCACATTGAGTTAGCATGGGTCGCAATTCGGCTCGACATTGGGATATCCTCATCTTGCACTTCGCGAGCATAGAAACACATCGAGGGTGTCACCATGTCGGTCGTGAAAGGTTGAAGTTGGGATTGGTCGGGCTGCGTTTGGCGTTGCCACCGAGTAAAATTGGCAAAATCTCTTCACTCTCAGGGCTGTTAGTTGATGGTTTCACATGTACCTCACATGTAACTACATTTCTTTCGGGGCAATGATATGATTCTGCTGTCTACACTTGCTGCTTTCGGCGGCCCTTCCTCAATGGCAAAGGAAAGTCCACGTTAGCCATTAGAATAAAATTACTTTATTCCATCCATAGTCACTTAAATTAGTTACACAGTCCAAGTTTGGTTAGTGCCGTCAGTTAACTGTTGATGTGGCTAACAAGGATGATGGCTCGCTCAATTAAAAAAAAAAAACCGACTCGCCATGTCAGGATAACCGACCTGGGATTGATTGATGGAAAAAGCTAAATAAGTTGAATCTCTTCTGAGGATCTCTTCTCGCTGAATCCGATGCTCGTGGAATGCCACCGACGTCCATTTCAATTTGTCGATTGAACGGCCGCCGCCGCCGGGGGACTTGATGTTACTGTACTTGAAGTAGAACCACGTGACTCCGACAAGGAAGACGACTACGGCAAGGATGAACAGGCCCGGCCCAGGCCCTGTGCTGGTCAGACCCACAGCACAGGGCCTCATAATTTTAAGGGCCTCGTATGATTCATTTATATGGCATGGGTCCAACTTCCAAGTTATTAATTCGTTGATATGGCCAGAAAATTACATGTGGGCCTAAGTTAAAAGAAATAGTTATTAACTCGTTTATATGGGTCATGTAAGGATTTATGGGTCAAATTTAAAAGAGAATGAATTAGTTAGTTTTTCAGTGGGTCCAAATTAAAAAGAAATTAAATGGATTTGTTGATTTTTAACGGACCTAATTTAAAAGAAAGTGAATAGAGTAGTTGGTCTTTTAATAGGTCATATTTGTTCTAATTAATTGTGACAAAATCATGCCTAGTGCAGCCAAGAGCCACGGAAAAGAGGCCTTAATCATTTTTTAAACTTATGTATTTATTATTATTTAACAACTTTTCTTTTTAATAAATTTACAACAAAAAATTTTAGGACCACATTTTAAAATTCTGAACAGGGCCTCGGAATATTATGGGCCGGGCCTGAGGATGAACGTAGACCTGAGAAGCCAGACGTAATCCTGGATTTCCTCTCGCCGTGTTTCCCCTGACACAGTCCGGCAATGTCGCCGCATAATCTGGAATTACCTATGAAGCTGTTTTGTAACTTTCTTTGGCGTAAATCATTGGAATCTCGCCGGAGAGCTTATTGTTCGAGAAATCAATCTTGTTGAGCTTCAAGTTATGGAGATTGGATGGGATTTTGCTAGAGCGGGGGTTTATGCTTCCAAGCGGAGTGCTGCTCAAGGCCGACCCACAGGCGGCGACGGTCGACGAAAGCACTCAGGGAGCGTTTTTTGTTGGAAGTAAGGCTTTCCTCTGCATATGGGTTCGTGGATTTCTGTTCGTGGAAGAAAGGTTTTCCTAGTGCGTCTTCTAATAGAGTAAGAAGATAAAGCAGATCTGCAAGTCGGGGCTTGACGGCACCCACATCTTTCCGCCGACGTATCCTCTAACAGACTGTCGAGAAGCTTCGATTCTTTGATTTCGTGTCCAGTCTAGGGATTTGAAGAATTTGATGACGCGGAATTGGAACAACACGAGACAACGAGTTTTTACGTGGTATCCTCGATCGATTGATTGATCGAGACTAATCCACGGTGAGCTCGGAACAAGCTCACGACTGACGTTTTATTACGTGAGGACTACATTGTGACGGCTTGCTTACGACAATCTCGTAGCTAAGCTTATATAGAGAACGACTTAGGGTTAAAACCCTAAAGACAACCAAGTTCCCTCTTTTACCCGGACAAGGAAACAAGGGACTTGTTGGACAAGGAATTAATTACATTTTGACTAAGTAATTAATATCCTCAACACTCCCCCTCAAGCGAAGACATGAATGACAAGAATGTCGAGCTTGAAACTGAACAACACTCAAACAACCTCTTGCTGGCAATGACGATCCAACTGGCTGTGACTTTGTTCGCTTGCGGGAGGGGTAGACAAATGATGAAACTACTCCATGCTTGACCCAGTTCCTTTGACAGTGAACTCAGCATGGTGAAACTCCTAGACGTCGTGGATGAGACTGATCCTACTCCATACTTGACCCAGTTCTTTGACAATGAACTCAGCATGGCGGAATTCCTTGACGTCTTGGATGAGATTGAAGACTGATGACTGCGTTGCTAACTTTGGAGACTTCTACCTGCACTGCTGACTGTGCTTCCCCGAGCAACATGATTGATAGATACACGCGGTCGACTTAATTGATTACTGAACTAGTCGACCTACATGTGTTGATTCCCTATTCTCCCCCTCAAGCTGGAGCATGAACAACGTGAATGCCCAGCTTGAAAATTAGAATGGTGTAGACTGAAAATTGACCAATTTCTGAATGTCGAGGGGACGATCGGTACTTGGATCGTGACTGCCTCGCTCCACGAACATGTGACCATCCTCGCAGAATTCGTGACGATGCACAAAGCTCGACTTCCTTTTCTTGGGGGCTTTGTGACCTTGATGAGGATGACATTGCTTGAATGATAACAAGACTTCTTGAACGAACAAAATTACTCAAGCTGAACCTTGAACATGAGACCAACAATACCAACAATACCACACGTGTAGTGAACAAACCACCTGTTGCCTTCAACAAAACATGCATGATTTGAAGAGCCTTTTGCCGCCAATGATGTGACGGAAGCTGATCATGCATGATAGACTGCTTCTTATTCCAATTGACAGACTGCAGCTGTGAGTGGCCTTGATGAAGATGATCGGCGGCTGCAATGATGACAAGGATTTCTCGACAGACTAATGTGGCGGTTTGACCTAGATTGCTCAGCGCCGGAATTGACTTGGCCTTGGAGGCTTGATTGACTGCGGACCTGAGATGGTGGATTTGACACGTCGGGACGGACGACCTCTAGAAGCTTCGAGGGGCGATGGGCCGTGCCTGACCGGCGAGGCGGCGATCCGGAGCTGCCGACGATGATTGGCGGGCCTATCGACAAACCAATTCGCGGACGAAGACTGGAAGCTTGATGAGTGTTGAACCACGCTACTTTTGAATTCCAAGTGACCTTGACGAAGACACCCGGTGGACAAGACTTCTAAGCGGACAACGCCCGCGAGAGGAAGAAGCTCCGACGTGCAGGAGGGAAGGCGTCAGACTGATGACGTCAATGCTGTCGGGGAGAGACAATTGATGTCCGACGTGTGGTGATTGCGGAAGAAGACTGCGGAAGATCAAACACAAAACCCTAGTAGATCGAGGTTTGCTCTGATACCATGAAAAATTTGATGACGCGGAATTGGAACAACACGAGACAACGAGTTTTTACGTGGTATCCTCGATCGATTGATTGATCGAGACTAATCCACGGTGAGCTCGGAACGAGCTCACGACTGACGTTTTATTACGTGAGGACTACATTGTGACGGCTTGTTTACGACAATCTCGTAGCTAAGCTTATATAGAGAACGACTTAGGGTTAAAACCCTAAAGACAACCAAGTTCCCTCTTTTACCCGGACAAGGAAACAAGGGACTTGTTGGACAAGGAATTAATTACATTTTGACTAAGTAATTAATATCCTCAACAGGATTGAAATTGTGGCTGGGCAAGATCCCCAAACTAGAAAAGACCCCAGCCTACTTCTCTGCTACCTCCGACGGGTCGATTTGGCGCAGATGGAAACTGGCTACGAAGACGTAGGAACAAATTGATTCCTTCCTTGTCTTGCTGGAATAAGATGGAGGTTCGATCCTAGTGTGGTTGGCGGAGCTGAGGTTGGAGGAGGAAGAAGCTTTGCTTGCTCTGGTTGTAGCTAAGACTTTCAATGTCGATTTGTTTGGGAGAAAGAAAGAGAGAAAGAGCTATGGGGAAGATGGATCAGGGTGGCGGGTATTCTGTCGGAATTGAGAATTGCGGTGGCGGCCGCCGGTGGAAATGAGGAAGAGACGGAACGAATAGAGGAGGAGGAAGAAGGGTGGGTGGGTCACGGGTTCGGTTCAGTTTGGGTATCTTATGTGACTGGGACATAATGACGTGGCAGATGGATTTTTATTTTTTTTTGTTTAAATTGGGTGGTTAGGCATCTTTGTTAGCCACATCAGCAGTTAACTGACGACATTAATGAAGTTTGATTAAAGGTAACGGAGAGTGACAAAATTTTGATTGTGTAACTAATTTAAGTGACTACGAATGAAATAAAGTAATTCTAGTGGCTAACGTGAACTTTATTAGTAATTCAAGTGACCGAACTTGCAATTTAGTCATTCTTAAGTTATAGTCGGAACTCCATCAATGCCCTCTGAAATTTCAGCGTTTTGACGAGTTGATTAGTGAATCCTTAGTCTTTGGTCAAATTATAATAAACTTATTAGTCAAACAAAGTTAGGCTGAGCTGAATTCTTCAAGGTAACTTCTACTGGCTTTCTTTTGGGGTTACCATAGAAGGAGATGATCAACGAGTTGGAGAAGGTTGGAGAATAAATTTTATATTATTCTTTTATACGTCTCAAATGGATATCTGTTACTTGGTTTCAGATATGTGCATGAATTATTTTCAAATCAAGCGTTGTGACTAAGGTTAGCAAGATACAATTGTACTTACCTTTTTGGCTACAAATGCTTTAACATAATATCAAGAACTAATTTTTCATATAATTTGAGTTATTAAGATAAGACCAATATTATAAGATGAATTCTTCAACATTTTTCGACAATTTGAGGTTTTTACTAAATAATTGATGTGGTATTTGAGCATTTGAATGACCTAAGAGCTGCAAATAATCCAGAGTAGTCCTAATAATTATTTACAT